GCGCGTTCTGTCAAACGGAACTAAGCGCCATGGAAAAGCATTGCGAGTATAGGACGGAACGAGCATCGCGTTCCGCAACACCCGCCAATCCAAGCCCCCCTCTCCCTACCTCCCCTGACGGCGCTTAGTTCCGTTTGATAGAAATACGTCCAAATCAGCAAGACCATTTTTTTCATCGCAAAATCGAAGATTTTTCAAAGTTGCAATCTTGAGATGCGCACTTTCCGCATATCGACGGTGAAACTACCAAACCACGTATCTCGGTTTGCGACGTCGCAGACTTCCTGTCATTCTTTATTTTTTAAATGAAAAACTATTTAACGTCCAGTCTTGAAAATTTCTGTGATTTTTCCTCTTTATGCGGAAAAAATTCTGTGAAAATTTCAAGGAATGATATTGATTTGGTCTACTTCAAAAAAATAAAATGCGAGCGTAGATTTTTAAACACCGCAAACGAGATACGTGGTTTGGTAGTTTCACCGTCGATATGTCCATCAACACGCATGTAAGTACTCTAGGCAACAGGGGAAAGCGTGGGTGTCATCATTATCGGTAGTGTTGGTGATAAGTAGCATTGCCGTCGGGAAGCGATGCAACACAAATGAACCTAATCTCTGGAGGCTTCCGGGGCTGCTTTTAGACGCGGAGCTCAAAAGTGTCCGCAATCACAGTGTATATGACGCTCCTTTTGTCCGTCGTCGCGGGTACGGGGTCCGTCAAAGCAATTTCACACGTGCGGATCCTTTTCCCGCGCTGAGCCATGCAGATGACGTTGTCTCCAACAACAGACGCCCTTGATAAAAGACTCCCCCGAGGTTCACAGCTCCAAGACAGCCGCGAGGAATGGAAATATGAGGACAGTCGTGCCAGTTTGCGGTTAGTTCCGTAAAAATGTACATTCTGCCGTGCTAAGGAAAAACACCGTATGAACATTCGAGAGTTGCCAATTTCCCTTCGATAAAATGTTCATGTTTGAGAAAATCTATGAATATTTGGACCGCGTTTAACAGAAAGGAACCAAGCCACATCAGCTATTGCCAAATTTAACTGGGCAATTTAATTTTTTACGAGAGAACGTTTGTGCGGATCCCTTTAAAAATTTTAAGGAATTTGCTTTGTATTACGGAGAATATTCACTGAAATTTGCACGAAAATCCGCACAGCCATTTTCATAAATAAGAATAAATTGCCCAGCTAAATTTGGCAATAGCTGATGTGGCTTGGTTCCTTTCTGTTTAACTCAGTCCATTTTTCCTTCAAATTTTCAGGAACTATAGGTGAAATTGCTAACAAAATTATCTAAAAAATTGGAAGGAAAATATTCATTAGTTTACCAGAAAATGTGTGCTTTACCAAAGGAAATTTGGCCACACCCGAAGGTTCATACGGCGTTTTCCCTTCGCGCAGAGGCATTCACCAGGGGCCAGAAACCCACGGGATAAAACAACTTTACTGCCGCGATACCGCAGAGAGCCGTAAGTGTAAAAATGAGGTTTCGAGAAAACGAGCTCAGAAGCTTCTGACCGGAATATTTTATTGAAAGAGGCCTCCGTTCTTTGTCAAATGCCTCTTATCGTCCGAAAGACTCTTCGAAATCGGTTGAATTATTGAAAATCGACCGATTTTATTACAATTACATAAAAGGGGCCATATCGACGGTGAAACTACCAAACCACGTATCTCGTTTGCGGTGTTTAAAAATCTACGCTCGCATTTTATTTTTTTGAAGTCGACCAAATCCATATCATTCCTTGAAATTTTCACAGAATTTTCTCCGCACAAAGAGGAAAAATCACAGAAATTTTCAAGACTAGACGTTAAGTAGTTTTTCATTAAAAAAATAAAGTATGACAGGAAGTCTGCGACGTCGCAAACCGAGATACGTGGTTTGGTAGTTTCACCGTCGATATTCATTTTCATGTGAAGCTATTGTTAGGCACGACAGCCGTAAGTACTATCTTCAGCCTGCTTTCGTGGTTGAGTTTTGGACACACAACAAACACATCTTCAGGATAGAAATCGGCAGAAGAGGGCGGCACTTTACTTGATTGCTTCATTTTTATTGGCTCTGTGGAGGAATAATGTCAATTACTACTGCCTGGAACAACGTCATTTATCGCGCTCTTACGATTTTCTCATATGTATTGTTTTTATACAATTAAGATGAATTTTGCTGTTTTAGATTAGACGAATTTTTGAAGGAAACTCGATTTCGAAAATTTGACATTTACTGCTCTCTTCGCAATTACGTGCAGTTTAGCGGAGAACAAATTTTGCTACTTTTTGCGAGTGATCAAGTTAAAATCAGTCACGTATTCAGTTAGTTACATGAGTGGAAATTTTGCAACGTCAACGTTCGGCTCTAGCCGATGTCAACATGTATAACATATCGACTGTGTAAGTCGGCAATTACATACTCGCTTTGCGACGTCGTAGATTTCTTGTCTTACTTTATTTTTTAAACCGAAAACCACTCGACTGCAGTTCTTTAAAACTGCCGTGATTTTTCTTCCTGTGCGAAGAAAATTCCGTAAAAACTTCAGGGAATGACGTCAATTTGTTCTCCTCTAAAAAAGTAACATAGAGGCGGAGATTTTCAGACACCGCAAACGAGATTTGTGATTGCCGACTTACACCGTCGATATATGACATCTGACATTTGGTACCTCCTCACCGCATTTCTTCCGTCATCTTGTTAGCTGAACTATACCAGACTAACTGTTCGATAATAATGATGTTGACTACGATGCCATTTTTGACCTCCGTCATCTCCATACGTTAAAATACCTTCCTCAACAAAGTGTTCAATTCGCATCCCTTTCTCCTATGAGATTCATCGATCCTATAGAGGATTCCATTATCGCCACCCTTTCACTGGGCGTCCCCTTCGTCTCCTCCCAGGAGGAACCCAATCAAGCATCTTTTTGGCAGCCTCGCTTCCGTCACCCTGTTAACATGACGATACCAGACAAGCTGTTCGGTACGAAGCTGGACGAAAGAAATGCCCAGTGAAAACGTGGCAAGAGAGAGCTTTACCACCCCTAGAGAGCGCTGTGGAAGCGACTTGCATGTAACATGTTTCTTTCTTCAGAGAGACGACGATTTATGACCGTTCACGAAACGAAGAACTTAGTGCCATCCACTATCCTATCAAAGAATCCATCTCCTATTTGAACCATTGGGATTTTGAAACCATTTTCTTTCAGCAAAAACTTCGATTCCGCTCTCAAAAGAGTTTGTAGAAGACCGCGCACAAGGACGCAGCACACAGTGGATCGAGCCGAGTAGAGAGGTTGGACATGAATTTTTTGACTAAAGCAGCAAATTCTGATGTTTGTTTCGTCACATTTTAAATTTCAATGAGTGCTTTCAAAAGAAAAAATCAAGAGAAAACTAATGGAGCCATTTTTAGAACGTCAAAATTTTGTATAAACACGGAGTTATATGTATAAGCGTTCCAAGTTTCCCAATTTTATCCGACCTCTCCTATTGACTCGATGCACTGTGCGGCGCGGCGGTTGCGTTAATTTCCCGAAACCGCAATAAATTGCATTCATTGGGAAGCGGAGTGCATGCTGGAGGGCTGGAGATGGTCCCCGCGACGGAACGGGACAAATGACACGAAAGCGCCCCTCGGGGACCAGGGAGGCCAAACACGGAACTTTGGGCGGAGTTCCGCGGGAACGGCAAACATCCGTGACCAAACAAGTCTCCCGCCTCCTCCAAGTTGTTGAGGAGTTTTCGCGGGAATCTCCGTCGATTCGGCAACTTTCGCAGGGCTGCGGTTTCCATTCGATTCCGCGAATTATCACCGTGCCTCGAGTAACTGTCGGGATTCAGCTCACTTCCGGTTCCCGATCCCGGGTCCTTGGCGGTGGCGTGGCGTGATTTGCGATATATCGATTGATCTGCCATTTAAACCTACGGAAAAGGATCGATTATTAAGGTGTTCGCAACGAACACCTTAATAATCGATTCTTCACTATGGCTTCAAATGGAGAGATATCGATAATCAATCGTTCAAGCCTCGCCACTGGTTTCTGACGAAGACATCCCGTTGACGGGAGTGCCGATTCGCCACGCCGCACAGTGGATCGAGTCGGTGGAGAGATCGGACAAAATTTGGAAACTTTAAAATCTTATAACTCCGTTTATACAAAATTTTGAGGTTCTGAAAGTGGTTTCATTGGCTCCTTCGTGACATTTTCACACAGAGGCATCCCTTACGTCTCAGGGTCTAACATCAAATTCACATAAATTCAGTTTTTTAAAGCATTACCCTTAAATGTGAGGCTTTGGTTTAAGGATGCAGACTTGTTCAAGGATGCAGAATGAGGCTTTCTGTAACTTAGATGAATTTTTAAACGCCTCCTGAACTTTGCTGAAAACTTTACCGACTTTTTAAAAAATTCTGTCTTAGTTAGTTTTTTGTAACATTTTTTCCCCCCTGCCATTTGTAACCTGTACCATAGTCCATCGGCTTTCATTTACGAAATGTGTAAAATAAATAAACGAACTATGTAAGACAGAGTCAGTTGCAGCTACCAATACTGGGATAATATTGCATCTCAAAGACACGAAGTAGGTAGCACTGCAGTGGCAGCTCTTGAGCCCGGAACACTTAGAACGCCCTTAACGCATGGATACAATTATTACTGCTGCGTGGTTATGCGTGTTGCATGCAGTTGGAAATGAAGGCGGTGTAGTTCAAATTGTTTATTAACTCTAATGCGTGCGGTTCGTGCGGTTTGTGCGGCATGGAGTTCTCAAAAAGAATGGACTCGTGTTAGAACCCAATAGGATGCCTTTTTTACGTTTTTTTTTTTTTTTTCTTTCGGAATTTTTACACAGGTGCCAGTGAAAAGCAATACATTTATGAGCCCCGTTTATTGATCGTTTGGCTGCACTAGATAATTTGAGTATTTCCATCACATCCATACGTATCATGTGGGCACTTCAGTCGGAAGAAGAGGTCTTTCAATTATTTTTCATTGTTTCAGTCACCGGTCCAATCTCTTGAGCAACTGGCCAAACAGTCTCGAATAGCCTATTCGGTGGTGAACGGCTCAAGCACTCACCAGTATTTCAAGAACATGAAATTTGCCGAAGACACTCTCTACCGGTCAGTATTTCCACACTCTTTTTTATTCGCACAACATATTTTGAGGGTCAAGACCGAACCTCCGTTTGGACTGAGGTTGACACGAATTACTTTTGTTTTATTTTATAATTTTATTAAAAAAAAAGAAGTCCCTCCTTAGAAATAAATGCTTTGAAAAATTGTCTTTGAGTCCATAGTATGGACCAATCCTTACGTAATATGACCGTTACTTTAGAAAACCTCAAAAGTCCGAAGAAATTCCTCGTTACGTTGAATTTCGAATTAACAAGAGACGACTAACGTAATCGCTCCTACACCGATAATTGTTCTCGTTGACTGAGCCTATTTTGTTGGCTTTAACAACGCATCTCATCGTCAATCCAACTGTGCGTGTGCCGTCAATAATTGACAAATTGGAGGTATCCACCTTATCGATTCAACCGCGATCATTTGGGCGTGGGAACAAAGCTCCATAGCATCTACTGTAACAATATTACAACCTCAACCACTAGAGATTACGGGAGCTTGAGGGTTGATTTTAGACCAAAGGGGTGCCTCCATCCTTCCATGCGGGAATCAATCGTTAAATTGCAAATCCTATCGCTCCAAAAACAGTAGGTATTACCAACCGAATCCAAGACATGAAGGGAAGAATGCGGGTATCTATGTAACGTGATTCATTTCGATAATCTCGGAGGAGTTTAAAATTGGACCACATCTTGTAATTAGGAAATACTATCTCTGGCTCTTCATAGAAATAAACATAAGTGCCAATAGATCCTCCATACAAATAGGTGCTTTTATGGGTGGGCCAGAAATAATACTACCGTGTTGGGGAAAAACGTCGTATGAACCTTCAAATGTTGCCGAATCTCCCCGAATAGAATATTATTTTGAAAGCAGGTAATGCATACTTTTCCTTGAGATTTTCGGGTATTTTAGATTGAATGGCGGACGAAATTTGCTGAGAAATTGGAAGAAAAGCATCAAAAACTTTCTCGATGAATTCGTAATTAATCGAAGGGAATTTGGCAACGCCTGGAGGTTTACACGTCTTTATTCCCTTACCCGGGGGTGTAGCTCCCAATTCCAAAATGTAGTCTATAATTGATTCTAATCGACACCCCCGTTTTTCCCAGAAAATTTAGTGACGGCGCGCGAAGCCTGCCAATCAATTCAATTTGTTCACCCGGCAGTGACGAATAGAAATCATAACGAATCAATTCGGGAATCTGCCGACGGAAGCGCGTAGCTCTATTTTAACATAAGCTCTTGGTGGCGTGAATGTAAATGGACGGCGGGGCTCATCTTAAAATGTAGCTGTGGTGTTATGTCGGGAGGAAGACGAATTCGACGCCCCGGTGGCCTCTCTTTGCTCACGCGAAATCAGTTCGTTATCTGATCCAGCCAACAATCAACCCAATGTTGTACAGGGTGTTCACGACCCCCTATACCCTTTTCAATAGCACACCAAAACAAGTTCAATATAACAATATCAAGTTTCTTCTTAAACGGTTTATTTTCATTTTAAGAAAAATTAAAAAATGTTTCATACGCAATTTTAGAAAACAACCTGGGCATTTTCAGTCTTAGAGTCTAGTTAGTAATGTGTTTCGTATATGTGAAGAGAATGATTTTCATGTTTGGGTTAAAAAATAAGGGATCAACATATACTTTAATATGGAGCATTAGACGAGGCACACCAAATTAACAATGTCTTCTTAAACGTTCATCTATATAGGTATTCAAGAAAAAATTAAAAAAAATTATTTATGCGCAATTTTAGCAAACGACCTGGGCATTTTTAGTCTTCATGATTGGGTTAAGAAATCAGAGATGAAGATACCTACTTCAAAATGGACCATTAGATAAGGTACAAATTGAAACATCCTGATACATGTTTCTTGATCAATGTTTCACTTAAAACATGACGAAATTTGCTTAAATTAACTCCTAAGTAAGATTTCAACGATTTTAGTTTGTCAGGTTACGGAAAATTATAATTTCCCGCTCGCAAGGAAGACGATACTGTTAAGTGAGTCAAATCGCGACCTACAATTAACGGGCGTAGCGAACTTCTTAATCAAGCAGTGTTCTGTCGTCCTATGTTGTTTAAATTGTAAACCGTATTAAAAAATGTAAATAAGCTTAAGCACCAAGATTGAGGTTTGTCATATTTTCATGTCGCAGAGACTAACATTGCAGTAGCGCAATTTGACTCGCTTAGAAACATACGTAGATTTGCTTTTTTTCATGAGCAGGAGGTTTGAATTCATGCATCAAAAAACCGTCAATGTCACAGTTGGTAGTTAATTCGGCAATTTCCATTACCCGAACAGTGTTCAGCGTAAAATTTTAAGTGGGAAACGTGTATCAGAATGGATTATTTGTGCCTTGCTCAGTGGTCCAAAGCCTTTGAAAAACCTCCTTTCAAAAAATTTTGAAATATGAGGAACAAGCTTAATAGTTATTTTCTTACATATTTCAATGATGGTCTTATGAAATTGTATGCGTTAAAAATCGACCCCACGGTATCCAATGGGGCCTTGAGGTTCAAAAACTATCGACGAGTTTGTAAAGTAGTGTCACCGTACTTGAGAGCTAGTGTTTTTCGGTAAAATTTTGAAAATATTTCATCATAATCTGAGACTATGGAAAATGTCAACTTACATCGGTGCCAAATATTTTAAAATCGGTTAATATTATCTTAAATTACAGCCCCACACACGACGATGCTAAGTAAAAACGCCGTAAATTCATCAAGATTTTTCCGAGCATTTTGGAACTTAACACTTTATAAAATAAAAATTGATTTACCCATGCATCTCAAATTCTCAGGTTAAGTTCTTGGTAGTATTTGGAAAATAATTCTGTAAAAACATTGTCCCAAGGCATACAAGTTTTTCTACTATAATACATTTTTTGAAAAAATGTAAAATGGCGTTTACGGCGTTTTTGCGTTGCACGGCAGTACAAGCTGTAGGAAAGGGTCAGAACCCCTCTCTCGCCCTCCATACAAATTGTTAAATCCTCCAAGAGGCTCCGAGAAAACTGTACCGGGCGGAATCAGATTCGGAGAACCCGAATTTCATAGTCTCGGAGCTTTTTGGCGTCACCACCTTTGGTATCTCAAAGAGGTGAGCGGTAGGCGGAACCAGACCTGATATTCTCGAAGTTCGTTTAGATTGTTTCTCAGGGAAAATGAAATTCGGATTCCTGGAAGTCGAAACCTCAAACATTCATTTGCAGCTAGCCTTTACACGACGATTTTGCGTGGTGTAACAAGATTGCTTTTTTTGCAATTTTGAAGAGGTTGCCAAATTTTTCAGCATCTCTCTCCCTCCTTTTCCCTCTAAACCTGTGGGGAGATCGTAGGGCTAAGAGATTTTTAAATTCGCATTCCTTAGATATTTAGATTCTTTTTAAACACCTTTTTAATAAGGGTAACCTTTTTCTTATAATAACATCTCCTCTTCTCCATCCATTTTTCCTCTCGTTTACTATAATTTCTCTGTTTTTTCTCCTTCCATTATTTCTATTCTTTTTATTATCCCTCTTTTCTCTTTCTTTTTTTGATATTCTTCCTCAATTTTCCTTTTTCTTACTTTCTTTCATCTCCCTCCACTGCGTTTTCCTCTCCTATTTTATCTCATCTCAAACACGTTTCCATCGGCATCCATCTCGAGGACCAAAGTGCAAAACCACACATCTCCATTGTGGTGTCTCAAAATTTCCGCTCCTTTCTTATTTTTTGGAGGAGGAACAAACCAACTTAATAGCTTGAAATTTATACAGAATATTCTGCGAACAGGGACAAAGAAGGGAATCGAAGAAGTTCTCAAGAAATTATGCTGACTCTTTTTTCGAAAAAAAGAACGTTGGAAAGGAAGTCAATAACTCTACAGACGGATATACTTGGTTCCTCACTTTGGCACTTGGCCATAGATACGTTTTAATCTATAGCAGCCGAGTCCGACTGTGATTACCTACCTCAAATTGGACGTATTTCTATCAAACAGATTTATGTATGCGGTTGAGAAATATGGGGTGTGCTCGTTATTTCTCTGCCGTAAGAGTGAATGAGAATAATAATAAACCAGTGACGTCAGTGGCGAAGAAACCGTCGCCGTTGGCGATTATGGTCCGCGTTAACTCATGAGCCTTGTCACAACGCTCTCGTGTCATGCCCGCGGCTCATGAATCCCGCATTCAGTTGGCACATAGTTCTCTTTGCTGAATTTAAAATCCCGCTTTTCCAATTCTTCAAAGGGGAATCACGCCCAAGTTTACACTGTTTCTTATGCAGCTTTCAAGAGCACACCTCACATTTCTCATCTGCACATAAATCTGTTTGATAGAATTACGTCCAATTACAATGTATGAAGGTGGCAGTAGCATCCGCTGACTTTAATGTTACGCCACCAAAAGGAACCTAAAAAGATAAAAATAAAATAAAAAAGAAATGAAAAAGTAAATAAATGAAAAAAATAAAAAATATACAAATAAAAAAATGAAAAAATTAAACATTAATAAAATATAGAGATAAAATATAAAAAATAAAAAAATAAAATAATATAAAATTTGAAAAAATGGGACAATATCGGTCAGCTTATTTAGTTTGGTCAACATAATCATGAATCGGCGAGGAAAATATCACGCGATGAGCCTACCGGGACAAGGTGACATGGAGCACCCTGTATACCGGGCGGGCGACATCCGAGCGAATAGGTTGCGCGCTGTCGATGCCACGCACGAATGGTCTCGCCCTTAATTGAATGAAATTCATGAATATCGCGGATCCATCGCCTACGGTAGTTATTTGTGAACGCTCTGTTATAGTTCTTCTATCATTTTCTACCATCGCCGCTATCACCGCCGAGAGGGGTCGATTTGGGGGAGGGGGGGGGGGGGGTTGCAGGGAAGGGGCTGCAGCGTGTGAGCCGGAAGCCGCGACTCTTGCGGATCGGAATTTTCTAACGAGGAAAACCTGTCTCACACGTCGTTGCGCGCCGAGTATCGTTTCCGCCGTGTTGACTTGCGGAGCTTTCTGCTACTTTTCTCTAACCGCTTAAGTACCGTTCCACAGGGTGCCGGCGCACAGTGGATCGAGTCAATTAGAGAGGTCGGACATGAAATGGATTGCATTTTGCAAAAAGGAACCACTAGAATTGCAATGATGCTAAGATTGTGCAACTTCATCCTTTGCAATAAAATTGCGGAAATTGTGAAAAATTATGAAATTTAGATGGTAATTTTTGTCTTAAATTTACAGTTTTAAGCGGGTAAAATAGAAACTATTAAGGGATATTCCGGTTATTCCTCCAAGACATAAGAAGTTGCACAATTTTATAGCAACATTGCAATGCTAGTGGTTCCTTTTTGCAAAATGCAATCCAAATTATTGACGAAAACTGCAAATTTTACGTGTTTATTTCGCGCGCCACATCTTACATTTCAAGGGGTGTTTTTGGAGGACAATTTCTCAAGGAAACCAATGGATCCACTTTCAGAACCTCAAAATTTTGTATAAACGGAGTTATGAGCGTTTAAAGTTTCCAAATTTTGTCCGAGCTCTCCCATTGACTCGATCCACCGTGCGGCGGCGACGCCGCGTCAATCGCGAAGCGGATTCGCGTGACCGCTTGTCATGACGATTTCAAAACTGTCCCTTGTCACTTATGAAAGAGCCACTCGCGTTGACAACGTCTCTGCCGTGATAGCGAAGAGAGCAATGACTATCAACTTTTTGGAATCGAGTTTCCTTCAGAATCCGTCTAATCTCTTTTAGATGAGATCACTGAAATAGCGAAAACAGCAACATTAATCTTAATCGCATAGAAACGAGAAATGTGAGAAAGCCGTAAGTGCACAAACAATGTCCTGGAGTCTGGTACGACATAGCAGTAAAATACTTTATCTCTCTAGATAGCCAATGAAAACAGTGCTGTCAAGTAAAGTGACGCCTTCTTCTGCCGATTTCTAACCTGAAAAGATGTTCATACGGTCAATTTATAATCATACGAGCTATTTTTAGGAGATTCTTGGACGATTAGTGACAATTTTACAAAGAACGGAGGCTTTTTTCAACGAAATTTTCTAGTCAGACGCTTCTGTACCCGTTTTCAGAAAACTCTATTTGTCGTGCCAACAGCCACGTGGTTGGATTCTTCCCCCCCCCCCTTCCGCGCTCTGTGGAAACGTGACCTCACTTCGACGATTTTCCGGAAGAAGAGAGGAACTTCGCATTGTCGTTGTTTATACCTTTGACTATGAATTTCGCACAAAAGTTGCATGAGCAAAAGCCCCTTATCATTACTATTCAACGCAGGCATGGTGAGGAAAAGCAGTTTAGTAGACGTTTCTTCATTGGAATATCACGGAAAACGCGGACATACACAGGCAAATTTCAAATTCAGCTCATTAGTTAGAGGTTGCCGACCAGGTTGGCCTAATGGTCAGCGCGTCTGACTCTAGGTCAATAGGTCCCGGGTTCGAATCCCGGTGGTGGTGACAAATTTTCAAGGAACTGACGAGTGGATCTGCAGAAACAGATTCCACTTGGCCTTAATCCCTGAAAATTTGAAAGCCTGGAGCATGGATATGCCTAAATCCCATGATGTCTAAGGACAATAAATACTGTCTATCGATGGCTGTAAGTTCCAACGGAATATAAGCCACTAAAACCAGCAAAAAAAAAAGTTAGAGGTCATTATTTTCTGTGTCTGTCAATTGGACCGCGTTAAACAGAAAGGAACCAAGCCACATCAGCTATTGCCAAATTTAATTGGGCAATTTTATTTTTTACGTGAAAACGGTTCTGCAAATTTCCGTGGAAATTGCAGTGAAAATTCTCCATAGTTTGAAGCAAACACCTTGAAAATTTCAAAGGAATTCGCACAAACATTCTCTCGTAAAAAATTATATTGCCCAGTTAAATTTGGCAATAGCTGATGTGGCTTGGTTCCTTTCTGTTAAAATCGGTCCAATTGGACTTAGCAGAAGGAACCAAGCCACATCAGCTACATTGATTGGGCACTTCATGTTTTTACATGAAAACGGTTGTGCGGATCTATGTGCAAATGTCAGTGAACTTTCTGCGTAGTATGATGCAATTTACCTCAAAAATTTCAAAGGAATCCGCACAAACGTTTTCTTGTGAAATGCGGTTAAATTTGGCAACGGCAGATGTGAATTGATTCCTTTCTGCTTAACGTGCTCCAATTATAACTTCCTGGTTGCCAAAACATCAAAGTTTACTTGTATAAATTCGGTTACGAAATCAATTTCAATGCAAAAAACACTTTTGAAAATTAAAACAAACAAACAAACAAACAAACAAACAAAAAATGAGCACGTATACCTTGTATCGTCGCCTTTGCAACCATTACGGTGGCCCTCTCTATATGTTGCTGGCAATTAGCAATCCCCGGCAATTTGCAAGCGGCTCACACGTTTTTTCAATAAATCGCAATGATGTGCATCGCCATATTGCAATTTTTAAGGGTTATAGTCTTCAAAAGTATGAGCTCGGTTTGAAGCGCCTTCATTGTTTATGCTACTCTACGCTTTGTCAAGATGTTTGTTTAGTTGCCTGTCCGATCTCAACCCAACTAATGTCACGAAGTTCACTGCACGCTCTTCTAAGTGTGCATATTTCTGCCATTTTTTAAGGATGGAAAAGTGTCTATTCAAATTATAGTCAACATAATCAGCATTCTAATCTTGTTCTTTTATTTTTGAATTTGATGATTTTCTATATTTATTCACCACTGGCTTGTAAAGTGCCGGCGATTGCCAATTGCCTGCGACAAATATAACGTAACAAGTTCTGATCATTTTATTTGGGAGGCTTAGTGAGTTATAGCTGAAAATTTTTATGTGCTTTGTGCACAAAGTTTTCTATAGCATGTATTCATTTTTTATTTCGAATTTTTCATGACCTTTTGTGCCGCATTTTAATAAGAAGATTTTTATATCCTACCAATTGGTGTGCCCATTGATAAATTTGCCTTTTAACAGGGTGTGGAAAGAAATCACCTTGAATGCATCGAGCGATCAGTCACAATACCGTGTGTGGGACTATCCCATCAAGGAGCAATATGGGCACATTTTATACGCAATTGAACAAGGAGGGCCTGTTCCAAACGCTTCCGTCGGGTTTCAAAGAGTAAGTATATATATCACGATTATTCATAGCGTGTGAAATGCCTGATTAATGATTATGTTTAGTCTTGCCTTATGTCTAGTCTTTTCATGAGTGAATTCTGTTTACCTCTGAAACCAGACAAAGTTTAATCTGTAGACAAAAAAATACTCAGAGACCCATAATTCTTAGACTATTTAGAGTACCGTGTAAGAAAAGATGCCACTGCCTTGTTCTTTATGTTTGGTGAAAAAAGTATTTCCAATAGAGGGTATGAGTGCTGGAGAACAGATCTAAAAATTCTCGAGGGATTACTCGACTAAATAAAAATAGGTGGAAAAAACTCGGAAAGTTTCTCGTTAGGCAAAAAAATCACTGAGAAAGACAATACTACAAAACAAGAAATACATGTAACCGGCTTGAATGAAGTTAAGGGAATTGTTAACATTTAATGGAGGGTTAATAGCGGATTGCACGGCTTAAAAGAAAAAAGACTCCTTTGAGACAGGAAATTCAAGAGAATGACTCCGAAAGAAGCCAAGAGACTTCTCTCTGTAAGTAACTTCACAACTTAATCAACATCTAAAGCTTCAGCGACGTAAAATAAATTTGCGAAAAGATGAGAACTACTCTCATCATTAAAAATAAGCCCTGGTCCTTAAACCTTATTATTTACGACTAGTGAAATTTTCTCTCCGTTCAAGTTACAGTCAAAATTACTTCTGACTCGACGGAAATGAAGAATATACGTCATTTCCCAGTCAAAGGAACGTTTCTTCATTTCGAGGCTCCAAAATTATCTTAAATAATTCATTTCTTTTACAAAAACATAGTTGGACACCACTTCTCTAAAATTTTCCTTATATTTTTTGCCTCGGCCAGAAGGAGCATAAGTGGATTTTTTCCTTTTTTTAAAGTCTAAATTGTTTTTTTTAAAAAAAGACAAATTCTGATACGTAATTTTGCAAGGTTGAAATGCAATTACGCTCTATAACAACATACAGGTATCTTTCGCTGTTTCAATCCTATAATGGCGAGACATGGGAAACGACGCTGCATGTAAGACCTCAATATAAAACTCATGTCTGCCTCTGATTTTAATCGTCCGTGTGTGTACTTACAGAGCATCTTTTTTGGTTGATTGTTGAAGCTCTCTCTTTTTCATCTGTATTCCAAACACAGAAAATAATGTTGCGTTCCGTTGTCATTAATTAAATGGGGTTTCTGCGAACTCTCAAGCAGGCTGCAGGAGCTCTATCGCGCAGAAGAATGAGGATGCATAAATATTCGAAGTCGCCAAATTTTCCCTGCATTGTTGAAATTCTGAGAGAGGAGTCCAGAGTGCATTCCTTTTGGGAACCTATATTGCTGCCAAACGACCGGGCTGAATTTCATCAAGTGTTTCTGCATGGACGGCGTTAAGTAGAAAGGACCCAAGCCACATGAGCTCTTGCCAAATTTAATCGTGGAATTTAATTTTTTATATGAAAACGCCCGTGGGAATTTTTGTGCAAATTTCATTGAAGTTTCTTCATAGTACGAGGCAAATTCCTTAAAATATTTTAAGGAATCCGCACAAAAGTTCTCCGGTAAAAAATTAAATTGCCCGATTAAATTTAGCAAAAGCTGATATGGCTTGGCTCCTTTCTGCTAAACGCGGTCCAAATATCTCTGAGAAAAATATTTTCAATGTTCCTATAATGTAATCATTCTGCTTCGGCAACATGTGAATGCTTTCTCCTGAAAACTGCAGAGCTATTGACTGGAATGAAACATTTTGCAATCGCGATAAAAGTAGATAAGGCGCTCTGAGATTTAATATCGCAAATGCAGTAGCCCTGACTTCATGCCGTGAGTAATGAGCGTGTTTTGATTGGGAACGCAAATGCGGGGCATAGCTCCTTGTCTTGCTAGAGTCGAGGCTTTATTTGTTCGAGTGTGCTCTCTGGCCTGGAAGGAGAGCCCTTTTGTCGTCTGTAACTCGAGTTCGAGGTGAAGTTGCCCAAGACTTTGTCTCCAGAATAGTCTCAATCAGCGAGCCATCTCTGGAACTCAATCCACTCCTTATCAATGAGCCTGTCGATCAATGTATAACAGGATAATTGATAGATGGAGCAATTGAGGACACCACACAAATAACAGCCTATCCGCGTATAGGTCGTTACTGCTCCCATCGGCTTTTCGGATTCTCTGTACCCTGCACTATACCGTGGTATAGGTATAGAACATACTTAGGTAACGGCTGAAGGTCTGAAACCCGTTTTTCCCTGGGTTAAGTCAGGCTTCCGGAGCAATGGGTGGAATAACAGCCTATACGAGTGAAGGCCTTTCATGCGTCCATCAACTCGGCATATGACGTAATTTTCGGTTCGCGGTATCTCTCTTTGCTAATTTTTTTATTCTAATTTTTAACATTAATAAGCGCTGTTCTTTACCAGTAAATTTTTTACATTTAATTTCTATTCGTGAATTTCAAGTCATGTTGAACCAACATGATCACGTATTTGAGGCATAAAAGTTTCAGTCTATGATAATTGACTTCATTTTTTTAATGTCTTGGATCAATTCATTTTCTTAGCTTCATAGTTGGTTTTAATCTTTTCTCTTGGGTAGCGAGTGTAATGAATATTTTTTTCTGAGTCATAACAGTTACAGAATGTCGTTCATATTCAAGCAGATGTGGCATTTAAAATCTAAAAGTTTAGAAAAAATTACTGCTTATCGAAGAGAACAACAGAACTCGTTAATTTATTGTTTTAATTTTTCATTTCATTTTTAGTAAACAAGAAAAAAAAAGTGTTGGGTATTACTTAAAATGCCACATCGATGGTCCTTGGTTTTTTCTTAAAAAAGAAGGAAAGCAATTTTAAAACTTTTAGATTTAACTGGTTACTAGGTAAGAAGTCCTCCCTATTTTTAGATGATAAGATTTTACTTTATGAACAAATCATAAGATCCACATGGGCATATGGTTGTAAAATTTGGGGCTGCGCTCCCAAATTTAGTTAAAAATTATTGCAATCGATGCAGTCTAAAACTTTAAGAAAATTGTGTGGTGCCGAAAAATATGAAACCAATAGAGACATTCACAATGATCTAGATATAGAATCTGTTTATAAATATATTCAGAAAATCTCACAAAGGTACAAAGACAGGCTTCATTGTCACCCCAACGAAACAGCGATTGAGTTACTAAATAATCTAAAAGAGGTTAGAAGACTTTAAAAAAAGACATTTTGGGAGCTTGTCACCAACCCTGACACTTATTTCTAAGACAAAACCATTTTTAGGATCAAATTATTTTCGTTAACTCATCTCATCTGAAACTCACTCACTAATCTATTGAATCTTTATGAATGTCTTTACTGATTCCGAGTCTTCAATAGAAGAGTTGGGTCACCCATAAATACGAAAACAGTGCCTGCAAAGCACAGCCGTCGCAGTAAATTAAATACAAAACTATTCAAATGCGTTTTTTTCACAACGAGGTTTCCAGTTATAGGCTGTTATTTGTACCGTGTCCTCAATTTCATTCTAACTGAGGAGCGGCAAGATTTTGAATACCAACACGTGTGAGCTTGCTACTGGTTCCGTTGTCGTTCAAATTGCTTCAGAGGATGATACACTTAGGAAACTTGGTGACATAAGACACTTTAGTAGTCGATCAATCAATTGATAAGTTCCCGATCTTAGGGCCTCCCTTCGAAAATTCCCAAACGCCAGGAGGTACGCCAGGTGTGCGTTCACTTGAGATTTCACCAAGAGGGGCGAGAGACACTTTGAAATAACTCCGAAAAAACATCACTAGAGAATATTGCACTCTGAAAGAGCGATCAATGCCCAAGTGTTCCTCGGTCAGATCTTGGGAACAAATATTTTATAGACCACAAGTCTTGCAAAATAAAATCTTCTTGACGGCATACTCGAGAATTTTTCTGCCTGAATCGAGTCACTTTTTTCTCTATTGAAATTCAAAAATTATACTAAACGTTATTAAATACGGATGCTAGGACTCAGTGAGTTTCTGGACTACCACTCTAATTTTATGCCGTAGTATCTTGATTTATTTTGCGAGGAAAGCTCTGTACTCTGAAAGGATGCCAGTCATTCTTAATAAGTTGGAGCGCCTTCAATTTCGTCTGGCACTGTGCAATACCTCTGTTGTGAAATAGTTGCTTGTGGCTCCATGGGCTGCCGGCCACCGCAACACGCGCATTGGCGCCTACAAACCTAAGTAGATACTTCACGCATTGCGCAATGCGTGAAGTATCCCCTTAGGTTTGTAGGCGCCAGTGCGCGTTCCGCGCACGCAGCACGCCGCTCCGCTCTGTGTTAGGTTCTAATATTTAAACTCCCGGAGTCAGCGTTTTTCAACTCATGATTTTGAAATGCTTGCACACTCTGCGTGGATTATTCTCATTTAAATTGATGAAAGTAAATGTGTGTTAAAGAAAAATATTGAGTCGATTCCGTGTCAATTTTAATGTATTCCAAAGCACTTTAACTTTGTCTTGCTATTCGTGCTTTTACTGAACTACAGCGCAACGAACTTCTCAAAATTGGATAAATTCGACTATAAAAAATCTTCTTGGTTTCTTTCCCTCTTTTATTCATTTTTGTTCAGTTTTTCCCAACACAACTACAGCTCACTGGGTTTAATATCGACGCAATCGCCTAGAAAAGGTTTTACAAATATTTGAAACGTTTTAAAAATGTAGATGTTATTAAAATGAAGTAATATATTTTCATTTAAAAAAAAAGTATATAGTGTATTTTAAATCGAAAATTTTAAAGATAAAAATAAAACCAAATATTCACCAATGACAATTTGAAAAGATGAATAAAAAAAAGAAAGTAACATTTCGTTTGAAAATAAGTTACCATAACAACACATCGTTCTCTCTAAATACTCTCATTTTGATATTGTCAATATAATTTTACATACGGACTAAAATATGACGCTTGGGCTTAATCACTGTTCCCTATTCTACGCGTGAACGTAAACGACTGGACGAAACAGGTGCGCGGGCAGAAAATCGTTGACGCAGTGTCCTGAAACCATGGAGGATAGCCTATCCTAGATAAATAAACAATATCTCGCGAACTATTATGAACTCTCCTTGAGTAAGATTTTAGTTCATTCAAAGCTTTTGTTCCTTAAATTAAAGGAAAAAAACGCTTGAAAACGATTACATCATATGAATTACATTTTGCAATAAAGAACCACTATTTCTAGCTCATTTTAGAAACATCATATGAGCCATTGGTTTTTCAATGCGGATATGCGTTTTTATGAAAGAGCCAGAGATAGTGGTTCCTTCTTGCAAAATGTAATCCATATAAAAAACAAACAGTTAGTGCAATTGGATTACATTTTGCAGTAAGGAACCACTATCTCTGGCTCTTCCATTAAAGCACATATCTGCATAGGGAAACCAATGGCATGTATGTTGTTTCTAAAATGGGCCAGAAATAGTGGTTCCTTATTGCAAAATGTAATTCAATTGTCTGTTTACTCAAATTAATTTTTCATGACGTCCCTGTCTGTGCAGACCTGGTCGGCGATGACTGAAAAAAACTGCCCGCAGACGCGAGAAACTTGAAAAAGCGCGTCGCAAACTACGCTGATTGCACACTGAGGAATGGATTTCAGATATTTTAGACTTGCCCAACGTGATTTTCGTGCAATTTAATCGATTAATAGTGTATTTATTTGCGTAAAACACTGCCGTGCTAAGGAAGAACGCCGTATGAATATTCGAGAGTTGCCAAATTGCCCTGAATAAAACGTGCATTTTTGACGTAATTTAAGCATTTTTTCCTTGAAATTTGCAGACATTTTAGAAAAAATCGCGCATAAAATTGTCTGAAAATTGTCTGGAGAATGTTTTACAATCATCGTAGTAAATTCGGACTTTATCGAAGAAAATTCGGCAACGTTTGAAGGCTCATACGGCGTTCTTCCTTAGCACGGCAGAACAGACCCACTCTATATACCAGCGATCTTAGCTTTTTCTTGAGGTCTAAGGTAGTGAACATGTTTTCATTTTGGGGACAAGCTGGTAAAAGTCATAGGCTCTTAGACATCAATAGACTTTTCTGAGCTCGTGATAGGAATGAGATATGAAACTGCGGAACTCACGAACACATTTTTGATATTCTAAGTTTGTCGTGCTTATAGTTCTCTCAACGATACATATCGTCGCTTCTCTAACATAAGAGCGTGTCTCAATTTTAACGTGAGCCCTGTTGAAATATAAAGCCATACTTCCTGAGGCTCATGCGGGAATCGAGATACGACCTTACGTCATAGGAGCTTGCTTTGCCTATACGTGCTGTCATTCGGCGGAAAGTCTGTCAAAGAAAAGAATATATTCAGCCTACTCAGGGTGCATGGATTCAGTTTTTTTCATTCATGTCGTGCCCGACTTTCTCTCTGCGGATTATTACCTCGGAGTTGCTGATGCATTTTCTTGGAAAAACTTCACACCTCGTCATTGAACGCGAAGTTAGCTGATTTTTTCCTCCTCTAAACCTCGTTGACCTTTTACAAGGAAGTTCCAAAAACCCATGTATACTTGTAGTACACCCGAGAATTGTGATGTACTCGTATTAAGCTTGAGGGTTGCAAAGTAGGCCTCAAAACTTGTGCGAATCGCAAAAATTAACCTTAAGATGTTTCATCCTTACGCAAAGTTCTAATTTGGGTCGAATAAACCCGTTTTTGGACCGCGTTTAGCAAAAAAGAATCAAGCCATATCAGCTATTGCCAATTTTTAACGGGGTGATTTCATTTTTTACGAGAGAGCAGTTGTGCAGACGCTTCTGATAATTTAAATGAATTTGCTTCGTAATGTGCAGGACATTCACTGAAATTTGCAAAAAAAAATCCGCGCAACCGTTCCCACGTAAGAAATTAAATTGCTAAATTAAATTTGTCAATAGATGATGTGGCTTGGTCCTTTTCTGCTGAACGTGGTTTATTTAAAATTTGAATACATTGATTTTAAAATATTAGTTATCTATATTATTCCGATGTCTTGGAATGACATACTTCCACTTTTTTATCCCTTTTCTCTCACTCGACATTTGTAACTCCTTCAGAAGAGATAGTCTTTCCCCACTGTTTTACTTTTTATTCATTTTCTTTTTTGGACGTATTTCTATCAAACAGAACTATGTGTATTAAGACATGAGCCCTGAGACCCATAAGAATATGTGCATAACGGGGCTCACGTAATAATGCACATAGTTCCGTTTACCAGAAATGCGTCCTTTTGTCAAAATATGATTATTGATTTGGATATATCGTAGCATATTTTGAACAAACTTAACCTTAACGTGTAACTTAGCCATAATTAACTAGTATTAACCAGTATTAACCAGTAGTTAACCGTTGTAAATTACAAAAATACATAGAGTCAGCTCATAGCTCGTCGACAACGGCGCGTAGCGCGGCGCAGAGATACAACTATTCGTGCTTGATGGATGTCTGTGTTGCATCTGAAAAATTGAAGGCGCTATGGAGCGCGGTGTAAGCTCGCAATGCTCAAGGTAGATACCGGGTTCGAGTCCCAGTTAGGTCGGAAAAATTTGGTAGATAGGGCAGGACAATTCTGATAGGAGTGAATGAAGGGAAGTAGAATTCAATATTCATGAATATCGCTCGATTGATTAATTTGCGAGATTTATTTGCAATTTTAATTTCTGCCGTGCATTTTGTAGAGACAAGTCTTGTTACCAGCACCAGACAATTTTGTTACAGAGACTTGATTTTTGACCCGTGCAAGAAGGAAATATTTTCCCTGTAACAAAACTGTCTTGCGTTCCCTCAACTGGACAATATTATAACCTAGACTAGACTTTTGACTCGTGCAGTAAGGCAGTCTTGCTCCCGAATTAAGAATGTATGGGTTTCATAAACTAGATTTCCTCGTGCATTAAATATAAGAAAACGGTCTTGTCTGAGAAATTGAAATCCTTGTTTCCCATTCCAGACACTTATTTTAGTGTACTTTTTTTTTTTTTTTTTTTTTTTTTTTTTTTTTTTTTTTTTTTGAAAGTAAGCCGTTTTTAATTTCTTAAAACGTCCAAGATTTTTCTGCTCTGTGGCGGAAAACTCTACGTAAATTGCAAGTAATTAAGTTGGCTAGTTTCTTTTCAGAAAAAAAAAAAATAATGCAGCTAGGAGTGGAGTTTTAAACACTACAATGAAGATACGTGGTTTTGTGACTCCACACTTCAGCCATCAATATTTGTGTTAATAATTATTAATTGGTAAAAGGTTCAAATGTTTTTAAGCAAAATCAACTGCCTTGATTGAGCTTTTAAGTTAGAAGTCATTTTAGCTGTAAATCACTTACATTCGTCAACTGACAACATTTCATACGGTGCGCATTTATTTTTAAAGGTGATTGACAGTGAGAATGGTGAGTTTGCGTTGATCCACGATTCGGCTGAAATCAAGTACGAGGTTTCACGTAACTGCAACCTCACCGAAGTCGGCGAAATTTTTGCCGAGCAGCCGTACGCTTTAGCCGTCCAGCAGGGGAGCCGCTTGCAGGAGGAAATCAGTCGCAAGTAAGTTATCAACAATTATAGAACAAATCTGTTTTTTCCTCTTCGACTTGCTTTCAATTTTTATTTTATTAGCTTGTGTATAAATTCTGCTTATCAACTATATTTGTGGTATCAAATTATTTAAATGTATATGATGAAACTAGGAAAATACATACATTACCTAAGTTTTTGGTGTTGCAAATTACCTGTCAGAGTTTTTTTTGTTTATGTAGATATCATATTGTCAGGAAAATTGGATATTATTGTTACACAAACTTTTGTGCCATTTCTTGCGTGATTCTTAGGAGTGCTATTCTCTGAAGACATACAGACAAATTTCGTAACATTCTACATAAAAACTAAAATATAAATAGAAAATTGTGAATATAGCATTTAAATGAAGGTCCTATTTTCAGTTTTAACGACGTTTTTAGACTAAAAATTTACCGAGACAATTTCCGTGCGTCATTTTGACTTTTTTTATCTTTGAATGTGTCCGCTGCCTTCAAATTTTCGAATCATAGTTTGGATTTTTTTACCGTCCAGAAGTGCCGCCAAGGTAATACGGACGATAGCTTTAGAATGCTGCATTAGCAAAAAAAAAGAAAGAAAGAAAGAATAAACCCGGTATCGGTTAATTAACCCCCTGGGAAGATCTCAAGACACCACTCAGTTTTCAAAGAATTCCTGTCATGAGAGACATTGTCAAATGTAATTGAAAAGCTCTCGCGAAGAATGTCACTTGGAACTTTCGAAGCAATGAAAGTTTTATGAAAGTTCAGTAAATGGATTCAGAGCAATTATATTAAATTGCCCTTAAAATGGAATATTTTTGCAGGGTGGGTCACAATGCTCTTCACTCCACCAGAGAAAACGGCACTTGAATAAATGTATCTGCAAGGACTCTTGAAAAACTTTCACGGAAAATGAAATGAAAGAGTGTTTTAAACGCCTGAACGATTCTTAGAGTTTGGAACAATTATTTGTGTCCAAGCAACAAAACATCGTACCTCTATCGCGACATTTTAAATTTTCAGGCACAGTTCATTTATTCTAGAATTTTCTAAAATGAAAAATCACAAATACGGCACAATAATGTTACGGCTTATAATCTTACAGTTTTCTAGGATGTTATTTTAAGGAATCCGAGAGAATATTTCAAGCTACAACGCGGATGTTTCCCTCTGAAAAATGAAACAACCATGCATGACAAATGACGATTGCGTGAAATAATTTTGTGTGCCTCATTTGTAATTCCTTAACATTATGTTTTTTTTCTACAGCATTTTAGATCTCCAAAAAGACAGATTTTTTGAAATTCTCACTGCAAAGTATTGGAATTCGTCCCAAAGAGGACAGTGTTCAGATGCGGATGACAACGAGGGAATCACATTGGAGAGTCTTGGTAAGTGGTCATGTATCATACGGATGTTTTCAATTCGCCTTCAACTGCGTTCGCAGCAATTGTTGTTTCGGGTATGTTGTGCGTGCTGATTTCAGCCCATTACATACTTGACTCATTGAAGGCGTTTTATGTGCGAAAGTGGAGCACTCTGTTGGAGAACAACAGAAGTGGGATTCAATGAATCGCTCAATCCCTACTTAGTTCGTTCTCCAACAGATGGCGCTACTTGCGCACAAAAAACGCCTTCAGAGAGTCAAGTATGTAATAGGCTACAATCAGCACGCACAACATATTCGTAACAACAATTGCTGCCGACGCAGCAGAAGGCGAATTGTTCAGTTAAAAAAAAAAAAATGAGTATGACAGGTAGTCTGCATGTAACGAGCGACATGGCACATGTATTCGATCGAGATGAATCGAACGAAAAATAAAAATATGAACCGATCAACACCCATTTAATGGACACATAAATTAAAAAGCTGATCAAAATCAGTGGAAAACTTTCATTTCCTATGAAAATTTCAAATTACGATATCTCGAAATTAAAATCAGCCAAGATTTGATTTTTCGCGATTTTAAGTCCACACGTACCATAGACTCACCTCCTGTAAACAGTTTCTGGGTACATTTTTGTCGCATTTTATTTTTGTCTCAATATAACTGTGAGCTGTGGCTCCAGCACCCGGGACTTTCGGCCTCTAAGCCCAGAACGTGGACTGTATGTCCATATAGCCCGTAAGTACGGCTTCCACGGCCGGAGTTTGTTCCCAGTGCATGTAAACATTGCTCCAAATAGTAAACGCTCAGCGGGCTGATTATTGAAATTGATAGACAAAGCGATAGACAAAGAAGACATGTGGAGTATGATCTCATTGGTTGTTGGGCCTATTTTCTTTTTGATCTCACGCAAAAATGTAAAAAATTGAATGTTTTAAAGCCAATCTAGCAACTTTGGAGTAACGTTACGTTCCCTCCTTCATTAACCGCAATAGGTACCGAACTAGAAGGTAAAGATTTCCTTTTCAATCGCTTCAGCCTTGTAAATTTTGAAACTTTTCCCTATCCATGAGTCAAATCATACGTCTATATTTGCTTTAATTCGGCCCAGTCTTCAATGAGTAAATTTATGGGTTATGTGTGCGTACAGAAAGTCTAAAAAAAAGTGTACCTACCGTTCCGATTCAGCCGAGTCTCTAGTGACGTGGCATGAATGATCGAGTTTCGATATTTTCCCATTTGAAGCTGTGGTAAAGATCGATTATTAAGGTGTCGTTGCGAACACCCAGTCTATCGATCCACTTCCATTTGTTGCTTTTTTTCAGTGCACTGGAAAAAAAACAAATTGGATCTAGAGTCCAGACTCTTAAGAACATCGACAAGAAAAAGCACTCTTGATTCAATCAGAATCTAGCTTAAATCAAGAACGAAGCCTCTTTATTTAAGCGTGATTCGTTTTGATTCAAGGAAAAATCCGATTGAATCGAGAGTATTTTTTCTTGTCAATGTATTCAAGAAATCTGGGCTCGGGATCCAATGTGTTTTTTTTTTCCAGTAAGTGGTACAGGAAGGTATGAGTATCCCTGGTTTCACGCACTGAAAAAAAAAATATCGGTGTATTTACTCAGAAAAGGGTAAAATTACCAAGAATTCAGGGTTCTATTTGATCCAAGTTTTTTCTTGGTAAAATTACCATTTATGGAATTGGTAATTTTACCGAGAAATCTCGGTAAAATTATAGAACTTTCTCGGTAATTTTACTGGACCTTGGTAAAAACGCCAATATTTTTTATCGACTGTGGTAGAATTACCGAGATAAAACGGCAAAGTTACTGGGAATTGATTACCAATAAAAGCGGTATTCTTACCTGAAAAAAACAGTAAAAATACCGGTTTTTAGGTAAGCTTACCAGTCTGTCTTGGTAAAATTACCAATAATTGGTAAAAAAAGTGAGATGGTAAAGGTACCAACGGACCTTGGTAAAGACGCCGAGAATTTTTTTCAGTGAGTGAAACGAATTCCCTCGATTTTTCCCTCTTATTTTTCAGGGGGAGTTTTCATCGCGACGATCTGCGGGCTCATCCTGGCGATGATCACCCTCTCGTTCGAAGTGTATTTCCACAAGAGGAAGAAGCGGACTCAAACGACCCCGGTGGCGAGCGGCGGCGCCGAGTCCAAGAACCCCGTCGGCGCGGGCCCGACCAAACTCATGTACGCCAAGGAGTTCGAGTCGGCCGTCATGCGCAACAGGCGGGAGTTCACCGAGGCCTGGAAAAAAGGAGGCAACAACATTCAATTCATCACCGTTCAACCGCGCAGTCATCTGTATTAAGCTCCTCGGCCGAGTGGCAAAACGCCGCGAGGGGGCCCAGAAACTTCCTTTTCGGATCGGCCAATTAGCTTCCCCCTCCTCCTCCACGCCGATTGGGGTGGAACGTGCCTACCAAAGATATGTGGTCACTCTATTCTCATCCCCCTCCCCTTGCCTCACTGGAAAAAAACCACATTGGATCTAGAGTCCAGCCTCTTGAAAACATTGACAAGAAAAAATACTCTTGATTCAATCAGATTTAAGCTTAAATCAAAAGGAAATCCGATCAAATTAAGAGGCTTGGTTCTTGATTTAAGCAAAAATCCGATTGAATCAAGAGTATATTTTCTTGTCAATGTTCTTAAGAGTCTGGACTCTAGATCCAATGCGTTTTTTTTTTTTCCAGTGCTTAATTTCAAGGAGAGTTCCATGGAAACTGGACTAACGTGTGCCGCACTCCCGCCGTAAACTCGCTGGAACGCAATTTCAGTTTAGTCAATTTTGGGGGAGGGTAGGAGGGGGCGTGGGAGGGCGAAATGCTGTTATAGAAAAGAGGGTGAAAGTCATATTTGAAAATTTCAAAGTTACGGACTCATAAGATTAGAAAATCACAGTGTTAAATCTAAAAATAAAACAAACAATAAACAAAATATACAAAAAATTTAAAATTCTGTAACAGTCGAGTTGAGTGTCTCCAGTGTTCATCCATCTACATCCTCCACTAAGAATGATAAATCTCTCATCAGAAAAAACGAGAAATGAGTGAGGGGAAGAGATGTACATAAAATGTAAGCTTGCGCGCGATTCGGAGTTTTCCTGAAATCTCTGATTCCCTTAAAATTGCTATCGTATTTCATTAAGCCTGTCTTCATACTCGGGCGAAAATGGGAAATTCGCCCTGAAATCAGCGCCCTAGAGTTCAGAGCCGTTAATGCCGTATCATGGGATAATTTCAGCTTCCCTGTAACCTTAATTGCATAACCTTTGAGCTGAAGGGGCGCTAAATTGTGGCTGCTCTAATGGTGTGCACTGTCACTGAAGAGAACTCGAAGGATTCAGAATGATGCGATTGAATGAATTTTATTTGCGCTGGCCGATGTTTTGCCGCATGAGCCGATGTTCTAGGTTTATTTTTGGAACGATATAAGTGGCATTTGTCTCCGTATATGCGGGTAAAAGCAATTATAGGTATGAGTCAGAAATGTTGGCTCCCTTGAAATTCAGTCCAAATGAGGAGTGTTGCGCTATTTTTGCCCAAAAAATCAACGATGAATGGCGTAATAATTTCAAGGTGATTGATAAAACTCATCTAGTTTTAAAGCTTAAGTTTTTAACAATAATGAAATCACAAATAAAAAACTTATTGATTTTTATTACATAATTTATTCATAAGAACGTGAAAATACTTGACATGCTCTAAGCACTTACACAAGGAAGACAACATTACGAAAAAATCCGTTGGCATAAAAAAAAGAAATCCTATTTTTCAGGCATAAGTTTAAGTAAGTTATCTTTAAGTAGACAGCAGGGATGGACTATCAAAACTAACATAACTTTCATGTAATCAAATGAGACATTTTTTTCTCTACTCAGGCATAACTTATCGCATCACAACTATATGTATGGCTGGGGGAAAAAAACTCCACAATAGAACGTTTTTATGGGCAAAACTGAAGAAAGATTGGGTAGCAAAAAACACTGTCACAGTTGAAAAAGGTAAATTACAAGACCATCAAACTTTTTGTTTGTAAAAACCGACCTCTTAACAATTTTTTTAGATTGCTCCAGAATTTTTCTTTTCATAAAATTCTTTTACAATTTTTAGATTTGTGAAAATATGAGAAATATTTTAATCAGAAGAGATGAGGGGGCAACAAATCATTGAAATGATATTACATCAATATAAATTGGACCACATTTTGCAATTAGGAACTATAAATTCCGCCCCGGTTTAAAACAACGTATGTGCCATTAGTTTCCCTATGCACATAAGTGTTTTTTCAAATGAGCCAGAATTTATAGCTCCAAATTGCAAAATGCAGTCCAATTGTTCGAGTAGAGTTTAATTGCACCTCTTTCAATTTTGACACAGATTGACTTAAATCATTCACGCCTCGCCGCGATGGCTAGCGCTCTGCGCAATGAGCAGAGAGTATGGAAGGTTAGAGGCCCGACTGGATAGGGAAGAATTGAAACAGAAGTTGGAGCCGTGAGCAAGCAGTTGCGTACGTTGGCGCGAGAGTGCGCGGCGAGCGGAATCCCATACCGCTGCGCTGATTGGCTAAGCGAGAGTTGCGGACGGACGATGTATAAAATATTGCCTACGTGGAGGTAGTCCGGCAGCAACATACCCGCCGCTAGTCACTGGAAAACAATAGAAAATAGTAGTTGCGTACGTCGCCAGCGAGCGCGCTGCGAGCGCTTCTGTTTCAATTACTTAGCATTGAGTCGGGCCTCTAACCTTCCATACTCTCTGGCAATGAGCGTTCAGCGGAGCAAGCTGTCGTCTGTGCGCTGCGATGGCGTAGTTTGGTCAGAGAATCGGAGTGGGGGAACCGCCGAGAGGTCGGATGGTAGGGGAAGCGACAGCGCGGGGAAGAGCGGCGTGCCGCTGTCCAATCAGAATCCTGCCCGCCGAGCCGTCCGCCGTCCGCGCATTCGCACTTTCCGCGATGCCGTCATCCCCTCTACTACCACCGGCCAATCGGCATCCATCCCTCCGCTGCAGGTGCGCATGCGCGGAGAGCTCAGAGGGCAGCATTCTGATTGGACAGCGGCACGCCGCGCACCGCGCCGCTCTTCCCCGCGCTATCATTTCCCCTTCCATTCGGCTTCTCGACGGTTCCCCCACTCCTATTCTCTGATCAAACTACGCCATCGCACCGCACGGACGATTGCCATTGGCCGATTGACTGGGGGATGGCACCACACGTTGTAACATGGACACGCCTTTTTTAAAAAAAAGCGTCATATTGGGGTTACTCGTTCTGTCACGCGGATTTAAAACGCCTTGTAAATTTTGTATAGGCAACCTCACTACACCGGCGTTCGAATAGTTATCGCTCAGATTCAAACGGCGCCTGCAAACTTGTTGTACATGCAGTTTAGCTTTGTCTGTAACCTGCGAATTTACTCGAGTAGTACTAATAAGTCCTTAATAGAAGTATAACGATTGCCCAGTCGATGTTTACATCATTCCTTTTATTCGTCATTTCTAAGGATTCTTACTCATTCTTTGTAGGAAATGCTGTAAAAGTTTTGGAAAAAATTGATGTTTATCCTTTTTTCGCCACAAAAATAAAACAACAAAGGAGAGTTTAAAATGTCACAATCGAGATGTGTGCGTTTTTTATTTTGCCTATCGATTCGCTTGATGAACGGGTCTCTGAAGGAGGAAAATGAACAAATTTTTAGAGATTAAATGTCCAAGTCGTTGCTCCAAAACGTACAACGATACTTTCCCCCTTCACATTCGTATTTTAGTACAAATAACTAACAATGAAAGTGCATCTAATAGAAAATGTTAAACGTTCCTTACAGTAAAAAGAGTCGTGCCGAGTAAAAATTGAAGAAATGAAAAAAATTAACTAATGCACTTCGTGCGCTCGTCAAATGCTTCGACGACTGAAGCTCAGAAAGATGTATTCGCTGTCACTGCTCTCAACGATACATTTTGATTCATATTTGAGGAGGTAGTTGGGAAGACGTTAGCTGCAAAATAAGGATCTCCGAGATCTGAGATCAAGAGTTTCGGCCGATTTGGTTGGGGCGAGCGTGCCTATGTTTTTCCTACTACGGGTTCTGATTTGTCTTTGCTTTTGCGGTGAGCTCACCATCACCTTGCGGCAAGGTATCGGCCTTGCCATCCTCTTCGAGCCCTATAGCCGAGCCCTCGCCGGGTCACACTGAGAAAAAACTATGGCTTATAAACCTATTAGAGGTAAATATGGAACACCACTAATAGTAGTACCTCTACATATAATAATAGCACATATACCTTAGTTATGGTACGGGGTACCTTAATTAGGTACAGAGACCTTAGTATGGTTCACAGACCGAGAATCATTAGTTTATTTACGACTATTATAGGTGTTCCATATTTACCTCTAATAGGTTTATAAACCATAGTTTTTTCTCAGTGAGTTCGTGGAACTTAACGACTGGGAATAATTACGCATGGCAACGTTGAAGACGAAAATCAAACCCAACACGAGGTATTTCCCGATGCTGTGTCGCCTTTTTCGCGCCCTGCGTCTGGATTTGGGTCTACAGTGTTGTCATACGGTTTTATTCCCGGTCGTCGAGTTCCTTGAACTGGCTCGGCGAGGGCTCGGATAGGGCTCGGAGAGGATGGCAAGGCCGATACCTTGCCGCAAGGTGATGGTAAGCTCACCGCAAGGTAATATTTACTCTAGGGAATTGTGCTAGAATTGTGCGAATCGTTTGAAAAAAAGAAAAAAATCGTGCTCCCTACTGAATCTATTGCATTTCCCTGGCGAGGTGGAATCAGCTGTGAGGTTGGAAGGCGTACGGCTGGTAGGCACCGATGGCCATGAAGTTCTGCTCCGAGTCTGAGGTAGCCACCGACCGGAGGGGCTTCTTGTGGACTGGTCGCGTCGAGCCGTGGCACTTGAGGGCGAACTTGAGCTCGGATGCCATCTCCGCGCACAGCGACGCCTGTAAAGCAGAGACAGACTGATATCATTCCTCAGCTGACAACCCTCATATCATAGCTCAGCTGACAACCCTCATATGGACGTATTTCTACCAAGCATACCTATGTGCAAGTGAGAAATATGGGGTGTGCTCGTTAGTTCTCTTTGCGTAAGAGTGAATGAGAATAATAAAGCGCCAGTGACGTCAGCGGCAACAAACGAGACCGGGCGCACCGGGGAGATCCCTGCGGGGTGACATTAACTCATGAGCCCTGTCCACAAGGCTCTCTTGCCATGCCCGCGGCTCATTTCAGTTGCACATAGGTCTGTTTGATAGAATGCAATATCCCGCTTTTCCAATTCTTCAAAAGGAATCACGCACACTTTTACATTGCTTCTTATGCAGCTTCCACGAGCACACCCCATATTTCTCACCTCCACATAGGTCTGTTTGGTAGAAATACGTCCATATTATTCCTCAGGTGACAACCCTCATATCATTCCTCAGGTGACAACCCTGATATCCTTTCTCAGATGACAACCCTGATAGATCTATATTTTAGGGAATACGTATCATTTGGTCATTTTCAGGTCTGACTTAATACCGACCTAAACATGTGACTGAAGGCTGATTTTAGCGAAAAATGCGAAATTGCGGTGAATATCTAAATTCGAATTTTTCGTCTAAATCGGCTCAAGCACCCATGTTCAGGTCAGTATAGGTCAGGATCGCTAAAAGTGGCGTTTGAGTGTCGCAGAGCACACAGAGGTGGTATAAGAGCGACATGTCAGTTAGTTAGTTGGTTAGTTTAGGTCATTAGACCCAATAGCAATGGTCAAATCATGATGCGCACTCGTAAGTTAGGTATAGATCTTTAATAAGCAACAAATCGTAGGGTTGAGGAAATTCAATTGGTTTAGGTTTGGAGGCCAAAAGTGACCCCTATCAATACCCCATCTTGAGCGTTAAGTATTTTAGGAAAGACATTAGCTATTGTTGGTGACAAAATCAAGAATACCACCATTGCGACATCGCGGTCGCTCAATAATTGCATAACCACTAATACGAAGGCGTTTTCAGTGCGTCTCGCTGGTTTTGGTTTCCTTAATCTTTCACGTGGACTCGAAAGAGATTGGCGAGATAAGCACGTGTGAAGGGCGGCTTGCGCTCTTCTTGATAGCCGAGAGGAACATTATCTCTCACATTATACGCGGCTAATAGTATGCTCCATTCTTAAATAAACAGAAGGGAGCACCAAGGAATGACAACGGGGAGATGTGTGTGCTCTCGCTAGCTCTACTCAACTTTCCACTTACAATTGGACGTATATTTCTGTCAAACGGAACTATGTGCATTGAGACATGAGCCCTGCGACCCATAAGAATGTATGCATAACAGGGCTCACGTCATAATGCAAATAGTTCCGTTCGACAGAAAAACGTCCAATTTACCATCGTGGAGTTATATGTTTGCTTTAAACTGACGAGATGTAAGTAAATGAGACAAGAGATGAACTCACCTCCTGATGTATTCCATGATCGGCGAAGCAAAACAGAAAATAATGACACAGCAAGTAAATTTATGGATTATGATAAAACTTCTCGATATTGAAGCAAAAGAAGGAGACCAGTAAAAGAGAGTGTATGATGGGATCTCTTCGTGAAACTAAAATAATATACTTATTGAATGGGAGAAGAAAGTTGAAGCATATTCATTTTGAATGACTAAACTTCAAAATTTCAATTGAAAATGAAATGGGTGTTTTTGACCGTTTTTAAAAAGTTCACCGAACTCGCGGATTTCGCCGATCGCTCGAACCAGCTAAAGAGAATATGAATCCCATGGAGCTCTTTAGACAAAAAAAATCTGACTCAGCAGATCTTTTTTCGGGGGGCTAGCTTGGTTTCATTCCGATCGGAGTTCTTTCGATTTTGATCGTCTTTTAGTCCATGTCACCCCTATCGACTTTTCTTGATTTTCGACGAGAAAAAATAATTCGAGAAAAGTCATTAATCCGACGTAGCTTGAGGCGTAGAATCGACTGCGCCAGTCTAAATGCATGATCATTTTTACTCCATATCGACGGTGAAACTCCCAAACCAGGTATCTTGTTTGCGGTGTTTAAAAATCTCCGCTCCTATTATTACTTTTTTCCTGAAAGCGAATCAACACCATTTCGTGAAGTTTTCACAGAATTTTCTTCGCATAGAGCAGAAAAATCACAGATATTTTAGAGAATGTACGTCGAGTGGTTTTTCTTTCAAAAAATAAAGTATGACAATAAGTCTGCAACGTTGCAAACCGAGATACGTGGTTTGGGAATTTCACCGTCGATATTCTTCATATCGATGGCTGAATCCGAAAAAATATACGTTGAATTGAAAAACTCAATTTTCGATACGACTAAAAATCACTGAATAGGTACTTTCGTTTTATTTTCCTTAAGATAATTAACGTCTCTCTTGTGTCGCTCACATAGTTGAAGCAACGCTGCAAACAAAACAAACGAAATGGTGGAAATAGAGCAAGAGAGATGACGCGCGCGTTGATGACGGCGCAGAGATACAACTATTCGTGCTTGATGGATGTCCGTATTGCATATTTGCAAAATTGAAGGCGCGACGGAGCGAGGCGTGAGCCCGCAATGCTCCGCTATACGCTGCCGATGAGGTGTCACCTGGATCCGGGAGAAAAGTTTAAAAAAGAGGCCCGAATGGATATCGATGGCGAAACTACAAGACCACGTATCTCGATTGCCACGTTGTAGACTTCCTGTCTTAATCCATTTTTTAAATGGAAAACTGCTCAACGTCAATTCTTGGAAACTTCCTTGCTTTTTCTTTTCTGCGCGAAAAAAACTCGGTGAAAATTACAAGAGATGATATTGATTTATTCTCCTTCAATGAAAATGTAATGGTAGCGGAGATTTTTAAACACCGCAAACGAGATACGTAGTCTGGTAGTTTCATCGTCGATATAATTATGTCTTTCCTATCTTCGACCGTGTTGACGGTTGACACTCAATTCTTTCTTTTTTTCGATTTGATGTTGGATTTCTTTTTTGGGATGTGTTTACAGACCTATATCGAAGGAAAGCTCCATACAACCCGGAGGAGCACGTGTTTTTGGCAAGACTTTGGTCACTTTGACCCCGCTTGGGCAGCTAAACATTAAATTATCTGCATAAAATTTCCTCCCTGAGTAATATTAAAGTATATTTTACTGATTAGCCTTCCTCTGTAAGTACAAAATTGTCATGGCTACCTCAAACGACAAACTTAACAAAATATTGGGATCAGGCACATTACCACAGAGCAATATCTATGTGGAGAGTGCATGTCTTCATGCATGAGCATTGAGCATGGATTCCAACAATAAGCAAATTTTACTGCATAGCAAGTATTATGATTCACTCTAATGCCTGGCTCATTATTAGTGATTTTCTTTCCATCTTGTTGATGTCATCAGAGACTAATGAAAATATGAAATACACCGATTGAAAATGTCAAAGTCATCTTTGAAGGTGTATTATTGCAATGATGATGGTAACAAACTTCACCAATTTTTTCCAGTGCCTGAAAAAAAGCATTGGCATTTGTATTCATTTTTCCGCGAATTGCATTTTACGCTTTTCAAATATTTTTGAGTTTCATTCGATCATCCATTTTTTACTTTGATTTTTTTAAAAATCTACCAAAGATTAACACTGTTCAGCATTCTCCGTGTAATGAAGTGTTTCATAGGTACTTGCACGAATTATTTATCCACAACCGGCCAACCAGCATATCATGTTGCCTAAATTGATGTTTAATTGTTTTTAGCAGAGAACTAAACTACTTTTAAGCTTTCTATGATACCTGGATTATGAAAAATATACTCACAAAATTTCTTTGGTAAATAAAATATTAAAGAAAATTAGGCAACATCTGATGTAGTCAGGCTGAATCTGGATAAACGGTTATTTGATTTCCAAAATTTGCTTGGTGTCGCTGCTGCTCAGTTTGAAAAAGGGAAATGTAAAATTCATCATCCTTTATCTAAAATGAACTGAGTTTTGAGCTAATGTTAGGAACTCTTCATTGGTGCCATGCAGAAAATCACAAACAAAATGTGAGAGGTACCTACGATAAATCGAGCAAAATTGAAGCACTGGGTGTAGAAAGGACACTTCTTGGTTGCAGTGTATCAAAATCTTCACTATTGTTTCATCCATTATATTTAAAGCAAATGTGTGTAATTCGTTGTAACTTTTACAGAGTATTCTTCATGATTTTCAGTGCCAAAAAGAAGATTCACCCGATAGAAGATTCACCCGATAGTTTCCTCTCTAAAGTAAAAATTAGTACTGGAGATTCTGAAACACCGCAACCAAGAAATGCTCTATCTGCGCCCAACGCCTTGATTAGGAAGTGAATTACAGACTGCAAGTTGTGAATGTATAAAAACGTATATTCTCAAAATTTTATAAAAACTTTTAAAAACAAACAAGGAGTTTGCTCGTGAACAGAACAGAGAAAATCGAATCAACTAAAATGCAGACAGACAGGAAAGGAGTTCAACAATATTCTTCCTCCTCCCTCTTTCGACGAGTTGAGACTCATCTTGAATAAAAAATATCTACAATGCTGTACAGATAGAAAATTTTATATGTAACTTGAATGGAACTTTAAGCTATTTTTTCCAATTGAGTCGATAAGAGTTGGGAGAAAATTAGGATGCAATCATATCGGATGATTAATGTACAATGAAATGAGGGGGGAAAAAATAATTTCAATCAGGTTACTCAGTCAAGGAGGAGGCATGCTAAACCATGCAATTTTCATTGTAATGATGATTTAGTTGAGAGATTAAATTCTAAGAGTGCTTGTTGAATTGTCAGGGTATGGCTTCTTGTAGAAACGAAATATCTGCCATTGATATCCTTGTAAAGATAGGTGCTTTTCCCGGTGTGTCCATGCACTGGGCTCTTTTCTGCTTATCTTAGAGGTTTAATTATAATCTCGCTCTAATGCATGAGAGAAATAAACATGCAATGACCATGAGGAGTTGGTAAACTAATGAAAAAAATTTGCAACAGACGGAGAAAAGGGTTCCATGCTGACTTTAAACTTGTTTTCTGACAAAAATTTAACTTAAGGTTGGAAGTATTGTGCATATTGTAGTTGAGCGTGGAATGAATTAAGGTTCACGAATTGAACAAAAAATATAAACTTTTTGGGAAAATATTCAGAGATTCATTCACTTATATTAAGACAGAGCATGACAGCTCCTGTCTAAGACAATTTCAGATTTTTGGAAAGTCAAAAAAAATGTCAACGTCTGTTTGATTTTTGCTTGAGCCGATGTAACAGCCTTTTGTAATGGGACCCGTTGTATGATACACTATTCCGCTGCGTCTTTCACGTTCACTTGAGAATAAAACTTGAGAGATATTTTGAAAAAAAAAAGTTTGGCAACTGCTATTTAGGATTTCTTCCTACAAAAAGCAATACTTCCATTTTTTGCAAACTATTTAGTGCTGATAGATCTTATTTATGATACCAAAAATAAATTAGACAAAGATTGACAAGAATGAGACTACTTTTCCGACAAGTTTTAGAAATAACTTATGTTAATACTTTCAAGAATTAGTCTATGCACTTCGTTCTTCACTGCTAAAGGTGGACAAAACACTTATAAGTTCATGTTTTATATTTGTTTCAAAACGCCCCATCACCGACAAAAACTTGCAGATAACGACAGTGTGAAAAAACTTTGTGAGAGACCTGTTGAAAATGTCCCATAAATTAAGTACTTAATCCTGACTACTTTTAATTGGCATGGTAATCAATAAAAACATTTTCTTCTTTTGAAATATTTAAAAATTAAAAATTAAATAAACGAATGATTTGACCGCAGATATTGCAGAAAATCAATAAAAATTTTGCTAATTAAATAAAAAAATACTGACAATTGACAAAATTAATGACCGGCATTGGTAACAAATAAAGACAGGGAGAGGAAAAAATCTACTATTGAATGGTATTTACAGTGACAAAATGCTTAGAGGATATTAGACATTGCTGGGTTGAATGACAGAACAAAAACAGAGACATAAAACATCTAAAGACTAAAACTAAACTATTGACATGCAAACTTTGTTTGTTTTTTTTCAATACATATTCAATTGCTATTGAAGTAAAATTTCTGGAGGCGATTTTTTCGTCTAGGATCTATGTACACTCTATCAAAAAAGACTACTTAAGTGCTGTAAAAATTCAATAAATTAAAAAAATAAAATAATCTTAGAGGGGCAAATTGAAAATTAGAGACTTTTCTGATGGTGAAATTGAACCACGGATTTGTTCACTTAAGAATAATATACGATTGACCAAAATTTAATCATTTAAAAAAAGTGAGTTCTGAAAATGGACATAATCCTAAAAACGATCCCATTCTACTGAGAAAAATGGAATTCACGACAATCTATTCAAGCGCGTTTCCCAAGGCTCCTAGCATTCTATTAAAAAAAAGCATTGCTAACAGAGCTTCCACCAGGACAAAAAAACTTTGACAGATACAAGAGACTGACACTTAACATACTACAATCTCTTTGCTGTATCTTTAGAAGCCTTCTGAAGAAAAAGACGTGTTTAGAAACGAGCCTACAGCTAACTAAACCTTCACAAGGCTCTTACAAGGGTGCAGATATATTACTTTCTACGAAATGAAATCCATCTAGCAACCCTGCAGACAAGTGATAGAGATACTTTTATGGAGTTTGAATTCACTCACTAATTAAACAAATCAATGAAATCCATTCACAGCTCAGAGACAGTAGGATCCAACTACTCCAATTTCTTATCAAAAAGAGCTTGTGGTCACCATTTAAAAATTTTGGTCCCGTTTACTTATTTGATCACATTAGAGATCTAATTTGGGCATAATTTGCGAGGAAATCAAATTATTTGGCTCCTGGGGCACCTCATCAAGTTAAAACAGAAAGACAGCGAGGAATTTTAAAAAGTGTAAAAAATAACTTACTGTTAAAAATAATATCTAAAAAATTTGGCAAGGAATGTGTATGCAATTTTTTTTTAGAGAAATCTGTTAGACTTTCTGGGCTAAAATTTGATTTGGCCTTTGAAAACATTACTTTATGGCCTCTTCAAATATTGTAGGATGCGATTTTTCAGGGTTTTTTTTTACCCTCTTCGCCTCTTCTCCTGTATTTGTGTTGCATTTATTATGCCTTTTCCATTAATTTATGCAATACCGGCTTGGACATTTAAAAATCGATGAATTTGGGCAGATGATACAATGACTAAAAATAGAATGAACAGCCATGTGTTAAATTTTTGAGCTGCTGCCACCCAAAAAATCATGACTTTTTAACTGATGACCAGATAAATCTTTCAAAACAAACCAAAGACGGACTCAGCGGCTCGTACTTTATACAAAAATAATGTTTGTACTGACAATACAGCGTTGAGAGAAAATGCGTGAGACAGAATCACAACCATTATTTCAGAAGTGTTTCTCCATTTCATAATGGTTGTTGGCTGAATGTCAGGTGTACATTGTCCTCACCCGTTCGTCAATGGCGATCTTGCGGCTCTTCCAGACAAATTCACAGACCGCTATGACACAAGCCACACCCATTCCTCCGAGAAGAACGACGAATACACCTCCAACATTTGCCAATCCTAGCTCGTTTGCAGCACTGCTACTTTTTGAGGTATCATCCTGGAAATATTCACAATTCAATTCAGTCAAATTTAAAATATGGAGTTCTGGAGAATTGCACAGCAAATTTTGGGCAAAAGCTAGTTGGAAAAACAATGTATTAAGAGCGACATTTAAAAACTACATATCTTGATTTGAGATGTTATCAATTTTATGTAAACTTTAACTTCCACCATAGAAAATAGATGCTGTCACCAGACCAGAAAAAAAGCTTTAAATTACAGTAATGCTTCGACTTTCTAATGATTTATTAAGGTAAGGGCTGCGTCGGATATCAAAACAGTTGAATAATTGAAACTACCAAAAAAAGACTGAGAAAATGTCATTTTAGGTTCTGTTTAAAGCAAAGAGTACATGCTTGGCCAATTCTTTCGTATTTGTAAAAATGATCATGCGATAGATAAAAAGACAAAAAAGCAAAGTACATTCAATTCTCGCAAAAGAAAAAGTCTCTTTTCGTCTAGTTGGTTGACGTCATTTTGACCAAAAAAAAGAAGAGAAAAAACTCAATTTTGGCCATGTTGGATTACTGACGCTTCAGATAGTTGACAGTCAGATAATCAGGGCATTACTGAATAACACTTCTTGATGCATTCTTCCTTTGGAAGTTATTTTGAAAATTTTAGTGCATAGATACAATTGTACAACCTCGATTACAATGTAATCAAGAAAAAATCAAATCCTCTGCTGGTTGTTGGTGATTTTATCGGATATTCTTCAACCAGAAAAGATTGACTTAATTTTTCTTGGAAACAGAGTCTTAGCTGACTGTGGACAAATGATCATTTTCCACAGCTTCAGACCACCTCTGAGAATCGCTTTTCATTCTTCAAATCAATAATATTCACTTAACAAAACTCGAATAAAGAGATGACAGAAATCAATTATCAAACGAGCTCTTGAAAATAAATATTTACTCTCTCAGGGATTTATGCAGATTCTTTTTTTCCACAGAGATGAACTAGCGATTGTCAGGTTAACAGCCTGTCTGACGATTTTGTTTACTGTTGAAGTTTAACTTTTATTGTCACATTTTTTAGCAATAAAATCTTACCAGGGCATGATTTAGGGATTTAAAAAATATTTAAAGTAATTTTGACTCAAAAAAAGAACCTTTAAGAATTGAATTGCTTGTTATCAAAAAAGCCTAGATTCGAAAAATTAAGAAGCCAGGAAATGAAAAAAAAATTGAAATTAAGTGAGAATTCATGGTGAATGGAAAACTGTTTGGCGCATGGAATTTAATTCCCAAAATGAGCCTTACGACCACAAATATGAAACTTTTTGTTCCTTTGTAGATGGCATAGACATGCTCTTGATCCTTGAAGTTGGGTGCTTTCCGATACAAACAGAATTTGCGCCTATCTCATAAAGGTAAAATAAAAGTTACGTGTGCCCTAAAAAAATTTTCTACTGTACAATGAATTTTCCAATTTTTCTGAAATGGGTAGCTTTTGGAGTAAGACATTCCCTTAGGATTCTCCTTACTTATTGTTCTGCAAAATTAAATTGCCCTTTATTAATGTTGCAAATTATGACTAAAGACTGTAAAAAACACCATTCATTTTGCATTGAATTGAAATAGCATTACTTACTCGGCATGATCCACCGCCTCTTTTTTCCTTCCACCATTTTGTTTTTAAAATATGTAGCCTCCCTTCCTCTTGGAGTTTTAGCACTGTTCCACTGATTGCTGTTCGATAAGGAGAATCTACAAAAAACAAAAACAGGCTCATTCAGATACAACGCACACAAACAAGCACATTCCACAAGTCTAACGACGGCAGTGACAAATTTGGGTCATGTACAGCATAAGAAGCGTCTGCATCTTTCTGTACCCTGGTCTCATTACCATTGGCTGGTAGAAGAATGTAATTTTGGGATAATATTTTAGGAGACAATTGAGACGTATTGCGCTGTCCTAAAAGCACAATTTCATCTCTTTAATGTGATATATTAGCAGTGAAACTGCAAAAAGGTGTATCTAGGTTGCGGTCTTTCAAAATCTCACCTTTATTTGATCTGCTCTATTTATGTCCTGTCAGATCAATGTTGTGTCCATGTTGATATATTGCGTAAAAGATGATTTTCAAACTTCTGATTGCAGGAATCACTTTCTACTTGGAAGAAAAAGTTGCTGAAGTAACATCCTGGATGTTACAAATCTGCACAACAACTCTTGAATGTTGATATGAACGCCACAGTTGTACAGTTGTTAATTCAACGTAGCTAGGATGTTACTTCAGCAGCCAGAGTGTCCATAACGAAATTCAAGAGGTGTCGTGAAGATTTTTAACATCCTTGAAGTTACTTCAGCAACTACTTTTTTCCATGTATAACTTTGAAGAGGAAATAAATAACATATTGCTTTAATTCACTTTGTGTCTGAAAGCTCGTTGCCCCAGAGCCTGAGTCAAAAGAATTATTTGTACACAAAACTATTTTGTCTCTGATGCAGTTTAAATGTAAAACGAAAGATGGATTAATGTTCTTCCATCAAAAATGTACTGTAGGGCTACAGAAAGACCTCATTTTGCAAAGGGAATTTTTAATGGGACACCAAGAATCAAAGCAGATCTATCTAAAAAGAGGATTTTTTAAACTAACGAACGGTCCAAAGAGTTCTTTTCCGAATAAATTTCTTCTGAAAACTCCGTTTGGATGGTTTTTTACTGCTAATAACTGTCGTTTCACCGAGATTAGAATGTAATGAGAAAAAGTGATAATTCACTTACTAGGAGGCATTGCTATTCCGTAACCCTTGGAATCCAATAGACCGCCAACCTGCGTCAAGTCACAATTCCTTTCGATCACATATTCTATGGATGTTGATTCCATGAGAAATGCATAACTGCCCTTCCCGCGAGTGACCCTCTCCACTCCTTCAACGTTTGATGCAGTGAACACACTTGGCCGTTGAGATTCCATAAACGACCACATGCGCTGGTAGGTGGTGAAGTTTGAGTCCTAGACATTTTTCACAGAATTATAAGACATTATGAAGGATAAAATTTTAGATAAATATCAATCTAAGTTTGCCTCTTGATAAAAGAGAGTCTGTGATAGAGATTCTAATGTTCAGGTGGATAAATGTTTGTAGGTATGCTACCACATTGTAAGTAAATAATCGAGGGGTAAAATAACACATTTACTGGCTGATAAATTCTCGTTTCCTAGACGAAGAAACGTAATTGTATTTCAACAATGCCAAATGTCTTTCTTCAATTTTCGTTTCTACTGTGAAACCATTGGACCTTCTAATGTTGAAAATTTCGCAGAGTTTCAGCAAAATTTTGGACGGCGATTGCCCTAGTCATTTTTGATTAAGAGAAATAATTGTGTAGGAAGATTTTGCAACATTATAGTGGAGACACGTTCCTTTGTCTGAAAAACGACGAAATACAACTTTTTGGCCTACAACTTCCCTTTTCTCACACTGTTTGCACTGCTCTAGCGTGGACCTTGGTTTCTAAAACTTTGATGTACAGAAATCCAGGCAAATTTTAATTATTATTGATTAATGCAGTTGGAATGGAAGAAATCAGGGTAGAAATCAATGAGACTTGTCACCCATGATCTTATTGATGTACTATACTTTATCAATGATTAGATCGAGAATAGAGATTGGGAAAATCTCATTATTTTTTTAGGAGGACTTATACAAAATAACCAGCACTGATCACACGTGACTCGTTCGACTGACCCGTCTAACGAATATCAAATAAAATTAGGAAACAAAAATAAATAGTGTTGGTAATCATTTGCAAGAAAATGAATCATAGTCACTAAGACAAAGTTATCAGAGAACCCAATTTGTAAGTACATGTTTGATTTGAAACATTTGAGTTTCGATGGAGAATGACAACTTGTAGTTATGCCGTTTTAGTTGCAAATTATTTAGTTAATTTCTGTGCCAACAAAGATAGTAAGTTTTTAATTAAATACCACAATTTTGTACTCTGATGACGGGAGATTATTAACAGTTTTTCTTCAAATTGCTATGTTTTCCGAATTGCGAATTTCATAATTTCTACAATGTAGACTTGATTAGACAGTTTATGGGTAATCATTGCCTGTGTCTTAATATTTTTTAAAAAAATTCTTGGTGGGGCGTTACAAATACTTTGAACTCTGAGTTTCCCATGTCTTTTTTCCCTTGATCAGTTATATTTTCAATTTTAGGATCAACTGTTAGAACCATGACAAAACTTTAAAACAACTGACGCACAGTTGTTCGCGCTTGCCTCAAACACTTACCCGGAAAAATGCAGCAGTTGACCCACCACGCAAAGCTCCATACTTGATTTTTGTTTGTTTCGCCAAATCTTCGGCACTCTCGATGGGTGAGTCCATCCGCTCGACTGTTAAGAATGCAGCCAGGTTGGCAGTGTAAGATGAGATCATGATTAAGGTGAAAAACCACCACATGCCTGCTACCATACGAGTAGAGACAGCTCTGAAAAATTAAAAAAGTACACATGTTAGTATTCAGGTTTAGATTAGGATTAGTTAATTACGTTGAAAACTGACCAGAGTGTTTCACATTTCTTCCACTGAGATTTATAATGAAAAAAAGTTTGTTGAGGTCGTCAAGGTTAAAGGCCAGGCCTCTAATTTACCGTTTTACATCTGGTATATTCTTCAAAATAAAGAATATTTGAATGTTTCAATAAACGTTCTCTGCTTTCAATTTTTTGTGAATTTATTGTTTTGAAGATACAAAAATTTTAATGAGATCGACAAATTTTTCTCATGGAAACATATTTATACAGGTTAAAGTTACAAGGATGGACCCAAAAGTAACCGGATAACCTTCGACTTAGCTGCAAGTTTTATGGTTTTGACCTCTCTTTTTGAAAAAGTCAAAACTATAAAACTGCGGCCAGGAAGAGAGTTTTTATGTTACTTTCGGGTCTCCACTTATAGAAACATTGAAAACTGTAGCAAACTTATATGAATGCCTTTATTGTATAAGTGTACTAAATTGATGTGATGATTCTAAATAGAGAGCTGATGAAACTATACAGCGATGTGAATGATTGGCACTGAACATTGACTATTGAATGCAAAGAAAAAAATATGTGAAACAACAACAATAAAACATGGAAAAATCAACAAAATCTCCACTTTTAAAAAAATCATTGGAAGCTTCATTTGAGCTATGAACAGAAAAAAAGCTTTTAATAAAAGGAGGAAAGGAAAAAAAGGACTAAGCATGAAATGTTTGCGTAACCCTGTGTACAAAAATAAGTGTTGACATAGAAATGACGTGTTTTTGCAGCAAAATATTCATAACAGCCATGCAAAAATTTGAAAAACTCTGTCCCTATTGTGTATTTAAATGATGAAAAAAAAGTAAAAAAATAAGAAACACATAAGGTAGAGGAAATGCGAAGTTCCTAGATACTATCAAAAGTTTTTTAATTCGAACTGTATTAAGCAGATAGGAGCCTACTTTGTCTGTGGGAAAAGGCTCACAGGGCTTTGCTTGGTGCTTTAAAGCACCTGGTAAATTTTCTTATTCATCCCTTCTGAGGAAGTTTTATTTAAAGAATAATTTCAGCACGATTCTCTACGTAGGTATATCTTTTGATACATTTTGGTCAAGAAATTTTAAAAAGTGAAAAAACGCATGAAACTAGGCTAAATTGGAGAAATTGAGATAAATTTTGTGTTTTTCTAACATGATCATCTCCAACTTTACTGCAAAGAGAGCTACATTAAAATACCAGAATGCCCCGAGTTCACACTACTTCACAGAGGCTCTTACTTCAAAGACAACTGCTTGGGTGAATAATTCTTGTTTGGGTTCCCAACCAACTTAGTTTGTCCTTGCTGGATTACCTTGTAAGGTCCCTGAGCTATGCTAAGAACGTTATATTTTAGCAAAGAATGCATGAGAAAAAGAGAGGAAGGATTTTAAAGCTGCTAAACTTTTCTGGGAGGAAAAGAGGAAACAGAGGTGAATTGGATGCTATCAGCCTAAAAGAAAGACCAGATACACACTTACTTTGGTGCAATATCAGATCCTTGTTGCATCAAAGAGCCTATTGTAAACCACAAAGAGTTGAGGAGAGAAAATTGGTTCTCAAGGACGTCGGGCTCATCGCGACAGGGGTGAGGATTGTCCCACTCATACGGACTGAACCTGATGTTAGGTGTCAGGTCGTGAGATGGTCCATGCAAACACAAAACAAAGCAAAACTACGCTCAACATAGCTACAAGGCAAACAGTTACCGAGGTTGAAAATATGACAAAAATATAAATCCACTCCTGGCGCTAACAGATGGTCAACCATGAAATAATAGCCATTATCTGATAAATGGTCAGGGTCTAACTCAAGCTCGCTTTCATAGTGAAATTCAGATTCTGCAGGCCATTTGTTTATTTTTCATCACTTATTCTTCATGCTAGCTTCACAATCACGATTTGTCAAATAAAATTTTGGCACTGACGCTTTGACGAATTTTTTCACTATCGCACCGGCACTCTATTAACTGATAAAATCGGTCGCTTTAACTTCAGCTAAATCGAAAGTTCACTCCAAATCTTGATCTAGCATAGTTGCAAAATTGGGTCAGGTGATCAGAGATCCAGATAATACTGAGCCGTTAAATAGAGATTTTATCTTAGGTAGTTAGTAAAAGAGAATTCAGCTCAACTTGACTAAAATTTTGATCAGAATTTTGAAAGCCGAACAAATATTTCGAGACCAATCAGCACCAAAAGTGGAGGCATATGAATATTTCCAGAAAGACTCAAATTATCTATAGAAAAACTTATGTACAATAATTTTCTTCTAAAATGATGAGGTAAAGCACTAAAGAGTGCGAATCTTTGGATCATGAAATAACATAATGAATTCAAAGGTCCTTGCCAACAGCCAAAATAAAAGTCCAACAAACAACTAAGAAATACTTGGATATCATCACAGAACGATTAAAAGCTGACACTGACGAGTGCAGCATAGTGGGTGTCCTTACTTGGGTAAAAAGTCGCAACCTTGTTGCATTAGCGAACCGATAGCGAACCACATACAGTTCACAAGAGAGAACTGATTTTCCAAATGATCGGAGTTAGGGTTACACGGGTGCGGGTTTTGCCATTCGTATGGCGTGAACCTGAATTTAAATACATTGATGACAGTTTTTGGAACAATCATTTCAATTTTGATAAATTATTCAGTAATTTAATTCAACCAATGCAAAATGTTCTCAATAGGTGTCTATAGTTAACATAAACTGAAAAAACTGAACGAGGAAAAAAAAGGATTCCATGTTAAAACAATTTCAGCACTTAAAACTGAAAATTTTCAAATTACAAATTCATTAAAATTTCAATTTCATATAAAAGTAATGAGCCTCAACATGAGTTTTTTCCCAAATTGTTACAAGTGGTCAAAAATTGTTTGAATTAAAATAAAATTACGATTTTGCCATAATTATCTGCTTGTAAAATTGCATTCAGATGAGAAACAATTGGCATTTTTTGTTTGTTTTTGTTCATAATGCATGATTGTACATGAAATAAGGGACCCTAATGCGGAAAATAGAATGTTGATAGAAGAAAAAATTGTCGGAAAGGAATGTTGGTCTGTTGCATAGAGGAATTTTTTACAGATACTTCGGTTCATGACCGCCAACCTATAGATTGATAGATTTAAATTTGCAGATACAAAAACAAAGCTTTGAGGGAAACTGCATTATAAGTTTCAATTTGCTGTAAATGGGTCTCAACCCACCCAGCAATGGTTATCAAAAAAGGTTTCAGAAACCTTGCCGCAATGTTAAATATGACGGCGGTAAAAGTGACAAAACTCTCTCTGAGGATAATAAAAAATGACTGAATTGTCAAAATAAGGAAGAATACTGTATAGGACTTCAAGCGTTGCCAAATTTCTTTAAATCAGATACAAGTTTTCAGGACAATTTGGGAATATTTTTTTTCCAATGTTTCAGAGAATCTTAACCCCGCTTTAATCCAGAGCATCTGAAAATTTCAGGTGAAAATATTCAAAACTTTTTTCAAAAATAAATATTTTGCAGAGAAAATTATCGAAAAGGCAATATCCAAATGTTCATATGGCGTTTTTCCTTAGCTTGGTATTATGGCAAGAAGACACTCATAAATAAAGAAAGACCTGTTCGATTGGTGGCTGGAATGTTTTAAAATCGTGTGCTTCAAAAATCGGCAAATATTTTCCCTTTGTAAAAATGGAATAAATTTTATGAAATATGAGATAAGGTTTGACTGTGCTCTACTGACCTGGCAAGGATGAACAGTAAAACTGAGACGCCTAGATAAGCTGTGGCCATGTAGATCCACACGTCTAATGATAATGGTGACAAGAATGAAAACAAATTAGGTGGTTGTTTGATGGGTTTTCTATACAGAATGCTAATACCTGAAAGCATAAATATATGAATGAACTCACAATTTTGAGAAAAAGCGATATAGAAGTTGGATCATTTTCTAAATTAAGAATAGAACGACTAAGATTTTTACAGCTTAAATGACGTAAGTAACTGTGCAGTCCTACAAAAAACTCAATTGTTTTTTCCTTTTCTCTCAAACCATCATTCATTGATTTAATTCTAGGGCAGTTCACTTAAGTCGACTTCGCTGGCACTAATAGTTTTTATAAATTATTATTCTCAAACGACAAATTTACTACTGGTATCTACTCGAAAGTCTAAAAGAAGTTTAATGGAGAACCAAAGTTTTTATTTTTATATCATATAAACAATTTTAGAATCTGGCGGAGGAAATTTCCTATTAGAAACCTAAGAAGTTCACTTACCTAAATTCATAAAAGGCATTGTGAAATCAACAGCTTGTTCACGATCATAAGTAATTGTGAGATCAGCAATCGCAAGATCCGCTCTCTGAGGAATGGAGAAAAGATGATTATCAGAAAATTGAAGAGATGAAGTATCCAAAGTTTCAAAGGAAAAATTAAAAGCTTTAAAATTGTATAATTTTTTCAACTGCAAGAAAAATTTGAAGCATCAGAATTATATCAATCGGTGAAGTCAATGCAGGAATTTTAAAACATTTTTGGAACTCGATGCCCCGTTAAATGTGAATCTACAATGATTTTGAGAATAATTCAATAATTGATCAATTGATTGATAATTAAACCTCACTTGTTTTTTTTCCCCTTATTTTTTTCTTACAAAAACCTTTGAAAGCGTTGGTATAATGCGGCGGCACATTAGGTGTTCAGGGGCATTGGATTAGGTTATACTCTGAAATAACTCAGTGACTATGTTCTAAGAGGACAACACAAAAAATGTTGCCTTCCCAACTGCATTATTAACTTGGGATGAATTTGCATAGTTATTTTGAAGGGTTTAAAAAGCAGCGGACCATGTTCAATACCAAAATATTTGGCAAAAGCTTTTCAATAGTATTTGATATGATGTTCCTTTCCGGCCACTTGAGCAAAATGAGCTTTAAGAAGCAAACTTTTAACATGGCAATCTCGAGAATATTCGGACAGAAAAGTGATTTTTTTTTTATTCTTTTAAAAAATTAAACTCTCGCAAATGATACCTGACAGCATAGAGCGCGTTATCTACAAAGACACAGTGATGATTCCACATCCCCAGTAGATAATGCTCATAAGAAAGCCGCAACTTTTTGACCCCTCTTTCTTCAAAATTGGCATGTTGTGATTCTTTTTATACTTTGTATCATCATGCTTGGGAGGTTGTAAAGAAAACATCAAATAAAATCAAAATTTAACCGGAGCCAAATTTGTTAGCTATTCTGGGTTTAGGTCTTTTGTTGGTACATATATTAATACTGGGCCCACCACAACATGACATAATTTTCATGGTTTATTGAGAAAGATCATAAAACCGAAGCTCAGCAATTGATCCATCTACTATTGAAAAATACGGAAGTCTGTTCTATAGTTTTAGAGAGGGCTGGAAAATCCCTATACCATTCTTCAGAATCCTTTTTTGGCTAGCAACATGAAGCTTCTGGCTTGCATGCAAGAATAGCATTATCTTTAAAATTTCAAGATTAGATACTAATATAAAAGTAAAATTCCTAAATTCGTTTCTAATTAGAAATTAAATTAAAATGTTGGAGCCTCACTTGATCAAGTAACTCCTTCATCATGCCATCCCACTCGCCAGTTTGCTTGTTGAGCGAGCCATAACGCCCATCAGGAACCAATTTCACGGTGTAGTTGAACCCTAGGATCCGAGCGATGTCTGCAATGAGATCGATCCCATAGCCTTCGAACTGATCATTTCCGACCAACTTCTCGCTCGAGTCTTTCAACATTACGTATGGAGAACTCTGCAACAGAGCAAACAGATTATTTAGTCACGCAAAGTTTGTCCTATCTGTTCTCAGTAGAGAAGTTCCTTGAAAAGTATGAACAAAGAGAGTAGTTTCACCAATAATTATCAGCCTTTAGGATAGGGTGTCTACAAGATTTGAGGTACGAATGTTTTTACTGCACCATCCATGATGAGAAAATATGTAACTGTGCATGCGATAAAGTGTGATACCAGTGGCAACTATGATCTGTTGCCATCAAGTTGAAGCGACACTGTGGAAGACGCTCTGAGCAACTATTCCTCCACTAAAGTATTGAACAATGAACAGACGAAAATGAAGGCGCACTAAAGTTTGTAAGTGGACTGGTATCGTTTACCGCTGTTCGAAATTCTACTGATCGCACAATATACAGCTAATGTTCGATCGATTTTTATGGAACTTGGTACCAGGAGACAATTGTTGACAGGAAACTTGAATTGCAACTCATGCCTTCAAAATTCGAAAATCAAAGATGGTGAATGCCGCCTAAAATGCTATCTCGGCTCTTGTTCCATTGATTTTTGTGAAACTTGACGCCAGGGGATATTTTTTGACATAAAAGTCAATTTTCTGTCAACTTTCCACAATTCAAAAATGCTACTCATACTTATTTTTCCCTTTTTAAGGAAAGCATACTGATAGACTTGAATGAAACATCACAGTTCAACGAAATCATAGTCTTATAAATTCTCTCAGTTGGAAACGATTTGAAAGAATTAGACCATATTTCAGCAAGCGCTTCGAAAGGATGTTTTGGAAAAACTACCTCTGTATTGAGCCCCAAAAAAAATGATACTGCTTACTATTAGAGATTAATCGAGAAAAAGAACTAACTTCTGGTGAGCAGTGCTATAGTTTCAAAAATTTCTAAATTCATACTGACCAGAATAACGGTGACAACAAAAGTCTTATTGTGCAGGCTTTCTACAACTTGAGCGTAGGCTTCACCATAGCTTTTGGTGAAATTCACACCTTCTGTTGAATTCCAGGTTCCAATCTTTGTTAACCCTTCTTTGGTGAGTTCAACGACATCCAGCATGAAATTCGATCGGAAGCCTTGATTGTCAAATTTTATGACACCCGTTAGACCTGAAATCTCAACCTGAAAAATTGAAAAAAGAAAAATTTGAGCTTATTTTTTTAAATCTTTATACAAATATTCTATGGATGAATCTAAAACCAATATCCTGTGTGTGTGATTTTTTAGGTAGCTCTATTTCGTCTTGTTTGGTCATATGACTAAATTCGGGGACAATGAAGATGAATTTCTGGCGATTATTGAATGATTATATATTTATTTCCGTTGGGTGAGGAGGCAACCCAAATTTAATTACTCCAATATTGTATGTTGGAGTTTTTTGCCAATATACGTTAAAATTTAGTATGAAGCTGGAAATCTCAATACAGAGGGAAAAAGCTCATATGAGCACAGTTTTCCCTCAAAGAGATATGCTGTTTAGTTAGAATTGCTCACTAGATGGCGCAAGTTTACTTGCAGCCAGCGTACGCTTGCCCAAGTCTCGGGCTGGTTTTCACGACCTCTCTGAGCTTGGTAGCAGAAAATTCAGGACGCTGCACTGCACTGAAGATTGGCCCAACAAGGCCGAAGCGCGTCTGCAGTTGCCTTCCTGAATGGACGTAACTAGTGTTGCACCGAACAGCATATCTCCTTGAGGGAAAACTGTGCTCATATGAGCTTTTTCCCTCTGTATTGAGATTTTCAGCTTTATGCTGAATTTTAACGCACATTTGCAAAAAACTCCAACACACTGTCTTACGACCCGTGTGTCCACCACAATCAGTTTGTGTACTCCAGTATTGCTTGAAATAATAACTTTAAATAATACATGGAGTAATGAAATTATAGGTACTAAAAAACTTACGATTTTCATGTAATTAATGAGACTGTATCCGTGTAGCCATGTGTTGACAGCATCGCAGCTTAGGGGTTTGATATCAATACTCTGGCTGCTGTCCAGCTCGTGAAGAGCTTTAGCAAATAAAAATACCGCATCATACATTAAAGCTGTCTCAGTCTGAAACAAGATTGAAAACTTTAGAAATCAGCCGAACATTCGATATACATATTTAGACATGTTTTTCTGGTAGGTGAAGAAAAGACCAAGATTGCAGGACCTGGTATTCACAAGGCCTTCTTTCATTGGAGTCATGGAGAGAATGATTATTTATTTAATTTAGTTTGATTTTATTTTGCAATTTATCTTACGCAGAGCAGTGTTGTCCCATCATGAAATTATAATTGGTGCAAATTATTGAATTTTCAACTATCAGATGAGCAAAAATCCAGAGTTTGGCATCCACAAAACTGCCAAAATTTGAAAATTGCATCATCAATGGTTCTAGAATAAAGAGTACATCATCATCATCTATTCCTAAATGCAGATTACAAGAAGACATCTGCTGTTTTTCCCGAAAATTTGTTGATTTTTAATGAGACAAAAAACCTCCTGAATAATATGTAGGTGTGCTGCCCAGATACTCCATTTATAACATGCTAAAATTTTTGTGCGTCAAAAAGCCAAAAAATTCAGAATAAAAGTTTTGAAAGAAAAAAAAACCGAGATTCAAGTCCACTTTAATTTAAGATTAAACTCGTCAGTAAAGTAAATTTTCGTTTGTGTAATTCTCGGATTTTTTAGATTTAGGAAGGAAAAAGACTAACCTTTATGAAAGTAATATTTTCTTTCTGATCCACGAAGGAGGAAGCATTAAAAGAGAGCATATACAATCAGAACAAGATTTCTGAAAATATTAAGCACATATATGAGTTGTAGGAAGAGACTAAAAGATAGCATATTGAAACTTGGTGACTAAAAGTCGTATCAATGAAAAACTCAAAAATATTCTTGTACCTTAGAATTTATGAGTTGATTTATAACCTGCATATTCTTTGAAAAATATTTACTTATTCATTTTGAAAGAGTTACTCATTAACAGAGTTGATGCCACAGGTGAAGAGGAGAACAATCCTCACATTAAGGTGATTCGATGGACGCCGTATTTTGTGTCAGAACGGCATGCGATATATCGCATCAATTGGTTCCATTTTTTCAGCTACTCGTCATTTTTCTCCAATTTTGAGATCGCAATTCTGTTGTCAGGAGACTAAAGCACTCACGTACGAATTTTAACAAAGAAATTCAACGTAATAAAGGCGTGGTTTTTTTAGAGAGAAAATATCGCATTCAAGTGCAGTTTCAATATCAGTATCGAATGCGATGTTTTCTCTCTGAAAAGCCACGCCTTTATTACGTTGAATTTCTTTGTTAAAATTGGTAAGTGAGTGCTTTAGTCTCCTGACAACAGAATTGCAATCTCAAAATTGAAGAAAAATTATGAGTAGCTGAAAAAATGGAACCAATTGATGCGATACATCACATGCCGTTCTGACACAAAATACGGCGTCCATCAAATCACCTTAAACCAAAATTATTGCAATGGATTCTTGAACTGCGATGAATTTTTGATCAATGTGTTTTCTTATTCATAAAATCGGACCCCTCGACCAATCTGCAATTTTATTTCCCCATCACACTCTTTGGTATAAAATCAGGACAGTAACACAATAGACGCAAAGCACTTCAGAGGGGGGAGATGGGTGGACCATGAAGTAGTCAGAGGGCGTAGTCCCCTAGTTTTCAGTAAGGAGTAAGGAAAAATTTAATCAACGGGTAAGAGAATGTTGTTCCGCATTTTTAAAACCTTAATTATCTAGAATAACTGTGAACATTCAAAGATTAAGTGACAATGAAACTTCACAAAATAATATTACTCACCCAATCCCTCAGAATTTGGAGAAGCTCTGGTTTTTCAGGGTCTACCAACCGAAATGCAGTAATGTTCGTTCCCCCATACTTAAATTCTTCTAAATCAACACTGTGTAAGTCCTATGGAAAGCAAGATCAAAAATAAGATTAAATGAGAGATAAATTGAAGAAAAAGAAGAGAAAGAAGAAAAATAAAAACTTGAAATCAATTACTTCATGGTTCTACTGGAAATATTAAATGATAATCGTTGGAGACGTTGAACGAAGGGACTTCAGTCATCCCTTACAGGATGAATGCTTTGCCACTGGTTTCCTTCAAAATTCCAAAAATGTTCAAACATTTTTAATCATTTACAGGCAGCATTCTTATGCTTTATAGCTTTAATTACTTTAAAATTTACGTGGCATTGCTTCTTTGACGTGAGGGTGTATCTCTCTTACCACATGAGCCTAGGAAAGTAAGTAATTCTACGTACCAATGGCTCATCTGTGAGTATAGTTACACTATCCTCTTGTCAGAGGAGCAACAGCAGTATACTACACAATAATAAATTTGCTTGAAAAATACTTACTAAAGAAGTAATAAGGTAACTATGGTAATCACTCATCATCCCTATTTGTTGCGCTTGCTTCAGAACTTTGTATATTCTGTCTGTTGAACAGTCAAGAACTATATGAGATTCCGCAGAATTTTTTATTTGCTTCAGTAGAGGCCTGAAAAAAGATTGAAAAGGTTAGACAAATGTCACTCACTATGGGACACTGGACAAGGTTTGAATTGAAGGAATCGCCACATTTATTATCTTCAAAATGTCATGAGAAAAACAAATCACACACCAGAAGTCTACATATTGAGCCCTTAACAAGATTAATGAAAATTCAAGCCGCTTTTTTTATTGCTATTTTCAGGCTTAGATTGTGGAGTGCCGACCGTCACTCTTGATTAACATTGGTTCAATGTCAAAAATATAAATGAAGTTGTTAAAGCTAATTAAGCTTCAACCTAATATGTCTCCGTGGTAACAGAGTTCTACATAGTAAGTTCATTGTAATGCTATAAACCCGTGTGAATAAAGTCAAACCCACAGCATTATTATGAATATTATTATTATGAAAGTGAATAGTTATTCAATAGTTCTGATTGTTGCTAAATGTACGCAACAGATGTCATTTGTATAATGTAACTTCTATTTAATCTTTGTTGAAAATGCTTGTGGATATCGAGAAGTGTTTTGGGAAGAAAATTCGTGAGTCGCTTTCTGAGCTTCACCAAGTGTTAATCATTTTTAACGTACCTAAGATTTTTAAGAGGAAAACGTTAAGTTTTTTCTGGTTCAAGTATTCTGAGAATACAAAAAAGACGTCTAATTCATCAATAATAAAAGAGATAGAGTTGGTGGGATGAATAATCATAACAAATATTATAAAGGATGAGAAAAGAAAACTGGGAATATGCACCACCAGTCCTAATTACCTGTAATCGTTTCCTTCACCTAACTGTCGCACTGTGATAGGGAATTCTGAGGGGCCATGCGCCTTCAAAAGTTCTTGTAGTCTGACTAATCCTTCATTGTTCTCATAAATTATTGTGAATGATTTCCAGCCCCAAGCTCGGACTAAATCTACGTAGGCCTGAAAATAATTTTATAAAAGAAAAAAAAAATAGTCAAAATGAAAATTCAAAATCAAAAGAAATTCCACAAAATCTCAAAAGAACTGTACTTATGTAAAAACAGTTATTTTCCTGTGAAAATGCTTAATAAATACACAAATTTGCTTAAATGTATCCAAATTTATGACTGAATTTACTAACATCGCTCTGATGATGCGTATCTCATTTTCTTGATTCATAAAAAAGTTAACAATTTTTTTTTATGTTATTAATTCTTAAGAATTTGAAAGGATGCACTAAAAAAGCTGCTAGGCTGATAGAACATTCAAAGGAAGGAAATCTTGGGATTTTCAGGTTTTTTCAGAAGAGTACGTTTTACACCCACGTGAAGATGTTTTTATGGAATAGACCACTTATTTCTAATTAAGTTCAGATTTCGAAACATTACGATAAATAGAAAACAAGAAATTGAAATTTTCATGCCAATAATGTGAACAAAAAATTATTCAATAGAAAAGTATTAGAAAGAAACTGAATTTTCTGAAGGAGACATGATCACCGGAGGTGAATACTTTCACAGCTAAAGTAGATTAATTTTCATGTAAAAAATAAAAGGAGAGGAAATATTCTAGAGGAGCTTACTTTTGACAAAACAGTAGGGTGAGGGTAGAGGTTGACCAAACAACTCTCTCTCCTAAGCCTGTAGTCCCAACGTGACTCCAAGTGTGGGATTTCCATCGTGTCACAGATTGACTGAACATGGCTGGCAGTCTGACTAGATTGTGGACCGAAGATTGCCGCAACACCACTTCTCAACAAATGACAAACTGAAAAAGAGACATCATAAAATTATTACCCTGACTTGCACATGAGACACAACTGTCCTGAAATAAAAAATAATAATTCAGAGCATCGTGAGGGCTATTTGGTGTCTCTGAATTTGTCCTTGTGAACCAAACCAGAGCATGATTGCCTTTGCTGGATATGCATAATGTCCTCTGAGTTTACTTCATAGTTTGGTTTTAATTTTTTCCAATTAACCAGCCTATCTTAAGAAAATAAATTAGTACCTAGTGTTGAGCGCAACGAGTCTTCATTCCCCCGAGTTTTGCTCCCTAAAGAACCCGTATCACATTGACGTGAATGTGCGCACGTGTTGCCTGGGCCAATGATTTGCCTTCAATTAGCTGGCTATGCAAAATGACTGTCATGACGCTTGAGTAGTGGTATCAGAATCTCGCATTAGGATTACGCAGTGAGTCGAAGGCGCTCTTCTGTATCCTATCTGAGTGGCCATGTACAATGATGTTGATAAAAAAATGTTCATGTGCGCACGTGTTGCCTGGGCCAATGATTTGCCTTCAATTAGCTGGCTATGCAAAATGACTGTCATGACGCTTGAATAGTGGTATCAGAATCTCGCATTAGGATTACGCAGTGAGTCGAAGGCGCTCTTCTGTATCCTATCTGAGTGGCCATGTACAATGATGTTGATAAAAAAATGTTCATAATTTTGGAGTCTTCAATCGAGCCGTAATTTTGAAAAATGCCCGAAGAGAATTGTTTTGCGTTCTAGGATTTTTATTTTGTCGGTATATGTCTTATTTCAAAAAATAGATTCCAAACGCTCAGTCCAGATTGAGGTTTTTAAGTCTTCTTAGTTTGGTCATTGTGTTCTCATGCAAAACTGAGCGTCGCCGTTTACAAGATCGCAACTCACTCAAAGGTTTGAATTCAATGAGTTTCGCACGGATAAAATGAGCTTTCGTCGATGAACTGTGAATAACCACAACTGAAGAAAAGGTACTGTGTCTACTGGTTCATTTGAAATGCGTGGAGCGTGGACGACTAGAGCATGGATGTCTTCCGGGTTTCTACGGGCACTATAACGCATTCAGATGGCTGTAGGTTTCTAACGGTATAAATGCCAAAGTGCTGAGGAGGGGGGGATAGAAAAAAGTATTACCTACATAATTAAATGATGGTTCAAGCAGAGACGATGTATTCTAGAGACTTTGCACTGCCTTTCTTACCTATGCTGTAATAGTTACTCAAGGGAGCCAATTCTCTGATTCACTTATCGATGACATACGATAGTGCTTTAAAGACTCTTTTACCTGAATTTAAATTAAATAAATACTGAGAAAAAAGTTTCATTTCCCGCAAATCTTCATAGCTCCTCTGGAGGTTATTTAATAATATATTCTGAGCAGTTACAACCCTTGAGGCGGTTACGAAGTATCTTGTGGCGATGCAAGATGCGACGAATGTGGCCAGCCGAGGATCATAACACATGGATACAACTATTCAAACTCCAAGGATGCCCGTGTTGCAGATCCGAAAATATGAAGGCGTTTTGACTTCTGTAGCGCTCGAACCGCCGCACAGAGGGCCAGGAATCGAATTTAGCTGGACAAAAGTCCATTTTGGCTTGTCCGGAAAATTCGAAAATAGACACCACTGAGCGATGAGGTATATCATGGAGTATCTGTACATCACTGGGTTTGGGGGTCTTAT